TTACAATTTGAAATCACGCCTCCCGTTTAAACGTTCCACACGTCAAGTACTCCCCGAATAAATATTTAAACGCCTGGATGACCGGAGCGCTTTGGATAGAAAAAGTTTTAAATTCAAATTTGACCTGGATTTGCTTCGTTCGCTTGTGGTGCCAGCATACTTGCGTCTGCAATCGTTCGCATCAAATTTTGAATTATAGAATATGTGGGAACAGCCGAACAAGGTTGGGCATGCTGCCAGGAAATCCTCTTGAAACAACGAATCAAATTCAACTCAGATTAATTTGTTTTCAAGCACAGACGTGTAAGCGAACCGGCCGGCGTTTCAAAAACAATCGAAGTCAAATCAGGTTTGGGTTATTTTTAACTGGAGTAGTAACAAAAACAGGTGACGGTTCTCCCTGGATAACAGCTAATCTCTCGAACCACGCAGAGATTTCTTGCTCTGATGGTATCTTTAAGCGTTGTTTAGAGAAGAGCCATCTGGCATCTTCGTTTAAAATCGCGCGAAAAATTCAAACTCGGACGATTTAACGCAAAGTTGGCATCCAAAAGTCAAACACATGGGAGCTAATCCGATCGAGTTGCGTGATAGTTAATCAAGGCGCTGTTTTTTGTTTTACTGCATCGTGGCGTCATCCGATAGGCGATAGCTTAACCTGACAGTCAATCAGTTGAGCTGGCTGCTTAATTTCTAGTTAAACAACTGGTTTGTTTAAGACTAGCTGTTCAGCTCGTTTAGGGGAAGGTTGTTCCTGAGTGGGTTCTTAGTACATGAATCCTGAAGAACTGCAGGTAGAGGCAGGTGTCACTACTGACATCGATTGTAGCAGTAGCCTACGGAATCACTGAAGAAAAGCCAAGCAGTATCCGACATTCCAAGTGGCAAGTCATCGTCCAGCTAAGCTGTATCTATCCGTAGTTAATTTAGTGCCCAGGCAAAATGTGAATGTCAACTCTGGAATCAGCCCGCATAGAGCGATCTCCACCCTTAGCAGGAGCCAATCATCAATATGGTCTCTTATTCTCTTTTAGCAGATGATAACTGTCAAATTTTTTCATGCAACAGCATTAGCAGATGACATTTTTGTCAAAATTAATATGACAGTGATTTCCTTAATGTGTGCATTTTTTAGTCAAGCGCGACAAATGCTTGTAAAAAATAGAGGCAATACACTATGCCGTGCCCCATTGAGCAGATTTCATGACCTCCCTGGGGAACACTGACAGTGATGAGCGTTTCCCTGTGATCCTTTCCTTACGTATGGTGATCTGCGAATGACTCACACTCAGTGATCGATTACTCCCTAAAGGCAAAACTAGAATACTTTCTGTATCTACCGCCATTACGTGATCACAGATTGATCAAGAAATGCTTGACGAGTATAATTATTATCGGCTTAATAGCTATTACTTGTCGCAGCTCGATGCTCTGGGAATCTAGTATTCCAGGGAGCAAACGTAAAAGCAGAAATGCGAAAGATTCAGGTGAAGACTTTCTTGCTCAGAATCGGTAGGGTTAATACCCGATATGGGCTGAGCAGATGCAAATTGCTTTAAATGGGCTCGGAAACACGATCTCGTAGATATCAACAATGGAGGCCCATTAGATAAGTTTAGCCCAAACAAGACAGTGGCCTGCAGGCTGCACGGCTGCCCCTCAAGTCGTCAATCACCACAACGCCATCTTCTTCTCGTTAGGTTCTTGGATTTCATCGCTCAAATAGGAAAAAAAAAAAACTTCCAAATCTCCGCCCGGACTGTCACTCAAGGTTAGGCGATTTCTCCTTGCTTCGGATTCCTCTCCGCGCAAGATTTCTGCACCTGCTCCTCCAAATCCTCGGTTAGTTTCTTGAGTCACCTTGCCTGCTCGAATCATATAGTTCTTGATATTTTTCTCTGTTGATTGCCTTCCTGGTGATGCAGTTACTACTCCACTGATGTAGTCCCCATTTGCGTTTGCCCTCCCCTCAATGTAATGGGATAGATTTTATTTTTTGTGCAGTTCTTTTGATGGAATACTAGTTACTATCTTGCGCGCAGTATTTCAGTCACTGAATTTGAAGCCCATATCACTGAGCTAAGGACAATATTGAGAATTGATGTGGTGCTAGCTAACACGAGTACTTACTAGGGCCTGATGGGGAGCAGAGGTGGAAGTGGCGGCGATGGCGCAGAAAGCCATGGCTATGCCGCGGACATCCACTCCATCAGGGAGGCGCAGGCTCGCATCGCACCATACGTGCACAAGACGCCCGTTCTGTCATCAACATCGATCGATGCCATAGTGGGGAAGCAGCTGTTCTTCAAGTGCGAGTGCTTCCAGAAGGCGTGAGAGTCACTGCCCCCCCCCCCCCCCCCGCGTGTTGTTTGGCATATCTGCCATGCTAATTTCTACCTGCTGCTAATTGCTTGTGTGGGGATATGAATATATGATGTAGAGGGGCGTTCAAGATCCGAGGCGCTTCCAATTCGATATTTGCGCTTGATGATGATGAGGCATCCAAGGGCGTTGTGACGCATAGCAGGTTAGTGCTAGCTTCATAGTTATTGCAATGTTACCTGGCATCCTAATCCTAAGAAGCATCACAGTGAACTGAACTGATTGAAATGGTTTCTTCTCAGTGGGAACCATGCTGCTGCAGTGGCTCTTGCTGCAAAGCTACGCGGAATACCTGCTTACATTGTCATTCCAAGAAATGCACCGGCATGTAAGGTTGACAATGTTAAGCGGTACGGTGGCCATATTATCTGGAGTGATGTCTCCATTGAATCAAGAGAATCTGTTGCTAAAAGAGTTCAGGAGGAAACTGGTGCTATTCTTGTTCACCCATTCAATAATAAAAACACTATCAGGTATGATTTCTCTGTTCTAAGTTCTTTTTTATTGAGTTGCTCTGTTGCTATGCGGAAAGTTTGTTCATATCTCAAATCATGAACACATTGTACAGAGACTAAAAGCTGTTTGCTTTAACATATCATACCCCTAGATACTGGTGCTGCTAAAGTCTAAGTGGATTGAACATGTCACTAGTACTCTATTGTTTATCTGGTAGTCCCAATTCCTGAGCTTACTACTTTGATGCAAAAGAAGTCCATTTGGGATTTGAAATGGACAGAGCGGGGTGAACTTTGATAGGCTCTTCTTCTTACGAGTATATGAAATTACTTGATAGTAGCCTTGGTTCACTATCAATTCATGAAATCAGCACTTAATTCAAACTGTATATGATATCATTACTCTTAAATCATATTTCATCCAGGTTTCATGATTTTTTTTATATACCAGCCTAGACTAAAAAGGGCAATATCTACTTGACATATTTCATACAGCTTGTGTTTAACAACCTTAGTTTCTTTCCATGTCTTGCCACTTTAAAATGTGTACTCTTAGCTTATTGAATAGCAAACATGAACTTTTCAGTGAATCATGCAAATTCTGATATGATGTTTTCTTTCAGTGGTCAAGGTACAGTGTCTCTCGAACTTTTGGAGGAAGTCCCTGAAATTGACACAATAATTGTTCCAATCAGTGGTCTGTACTCTACTGTATTAACTTCTTCTGTAACACAAGTCTTTCTTTTCTATTTTGACGCATGCATATACTTTTGGCTACACTACAGGTGGTGGTTTAATTTCTGGTGTGGCACTGGCTGCCAAGGCCATAAACCCTTCAATACGTATTCTGGCAGCAGAACCAAAGGGTGCTGATGATTCTGCCCAGTCCAAGGCTGCTGGAAAGATCATAACATTGCCTTCAACCAACACCATTGCTGATGGACTTCGAGCTTTTCTTGGTGACCTGACATGGTAAAGCATTATACATTGAACCGATTCTCAGCATCAATCTTCTCCAAATGCATTCCCCACACTAATTACAACCATAGTAAAATGTTAACCTGTTGTCAGCATCAATCTTTTCCAAATGCATTTGCAAATATTTATGCGGTTTTATTTGAAATATCTATTGACCCAGCAGGCAGTCATGCTTCAAGAAAACTTCTTAGATTTGATCTCTGCATTTTAGGCCGGTGGTGCGCGACTTGGTGGATGATATCATTGTTGTGGATGACAATGCCATTGTGGACGCCATGAAAATGTGCTACGAGATGCTGAAGGTGGCTGTTGAGCCGAGTGGAGCAATAGGCCTCGCAGCCGCCCTCTCTGACGAGTTTAAGCAAAGCTCTGCTTGGCATGAGAGCAGTAAGATAGGGATCATTGTTTCTGGAGGCAATGTTGACCTCGGTGTCCTCTGGGAGTCTCTCTATAAACGTTGATTGGACAGTCCAGTTTGTACCACTGATGAAATCTGTACCTGAATTTGAATAGACGGGGCTAGTAGCTGTAAAACCTGTAAATCCATTGGTTCCTTACAGGAAATTGCCTTGGCTGCTGAATTACTCGATGCAGGAAATTGCATTGCCATTGACTTCAATACTTCAGTCTAGAGTGCTGATTGCTGAACTGCTGGACATCTGGACCATTTTTGCGTTAGATTTCTCCCCTTACATTTTTTATCTTTACCTTTTTCTTATTAAACTTATGGTTGTACTTCCTCTGTTTCACAATATAAGTCATTTTAGCATTTCCCACATTCATATTGATGCATGTCTTAGATTCATTAGCATCAATATGAATGTGAAAAATGTATATATGTCTTAGATTCATTAGCATCAATATGAATGTGGGGAATGCTAGAATGATTTACATTGTGTAATGAATCTAAGACATATATATGTCTTGGATTCATTAGCATCGATACGAATGTGGGAAATGCTAGAATGATTTACATTGTGAAACGGAGGAAGTATGTCTTATGGCAGAATCGATGTAATCCATTTTTTTTTTTTTTTTTGAATTATCTAAAAAGATCGCTTGACGCGAATTTTACAAAAAGATCCCTGATTTGCCTTTTTCAGAAATACCCCTCGTTTAGCCGTTATTTCGCGGAGTGGCTCCCACTGCTTCTAGATGCGTGGACGGTGGATCAAGGCGTGAGCCCGAATCTCAAAGCGTCAGCGCCTCCCAAAACGAAGCCCTCCTTGCTCGGCTGTTCCCTTGCTCCCCTCCCGACTCCCGTCCCCCGCCGCCGCGCGCCGCCGCCCAGAGAGAGAGAGAGAGAGAGTGAGATACCAAGCTCGAGGACAGCACCACGCGCGACGGCGAGAGAGCGTCCGTAGCCCAAGGCGATGGCGAACAAGCGGCAGCGGGAAGCGCGGAAGCGCTTCCGCGAGGCGAACCCGGGCCTCTTCCCCGCCAACCCGACCCCTCCCGCCGACGGCACCAAGAAGAAGAAGAACAACAAGAAGAGCATGTTCAAGAAGACGAGTAAGGCGGGTGGGGGAGGCGCGGGGAGGTCGAAGCACCCGCTCCGGGTCCCCGGGATGCGGCCCGGGGAGCGGTGCTTCATCTGCAAGGCCGCGGACCACGTCGCCAAGGTCTGCCCCGAGAAGTCCCTCTGGGAGAAGAACAAGGTATCTGCCTACCACCATTCGTCTCAAAATCCCTGCCTTTTGCAAGCTCTTGGGGATAATTTTTGCTCGGCCCAATGTCTTTTGCTATAGAAGCCATGGACCTAAGAACGTCAATTAAGGTGACCTTAGGTTTAGATCAGCATTTGTACTTTCTGACTTTCTGTTATTATTGGGGGTTAAAACCAACGAAATCAGTATGGGTTTTCTGTTTATTGTTCTGTTTATGCCTTGTTCTGTTTAATGTTGCGGGGTGTTATTTACGTTATGCAATACCTAGCAGTGGGCACTGGGCAGTGCGTGTATTGGTTGTTCTGTATTTTTTTGTTTTATCACACGTTGTATCTATCTCTAGGTGAATGGCAAAACGGTGACTTCTGGAGGCCATCCTGATAAGTGTTTTACTGCTTCCATTCCAACCTTTAATCAGTGGATTCTGGCTGTCACAGTTATATATTTTCAGTCAGTAGTATTTTTTTTTTCAGTACTTAGTTGCCTCAAAGTCTGACCAGTTCATTTGTGGTTTTCAAGCTAAAATTTAATATTTATATTTTCTTCTTTCAGATTTGCTTGCTCTGCAGGCAACGAGGTCATAGCCTGAAGAATTGCCCTGACAAAAATGATGAAAATTTGAAGAAATTCTGTTATAATTGTGGTGAATCTGGGCACTCACTTTCCAAGTGCCCCAAACCCATTGAAAATGGTAAATAATACATCCTTTCATCTCATACAGTTGCCAGTTTCCATACTCGATACCTGCAAATAGTTACCCTCAGCCATATGATTTCCTCGCACATTTAGCATGATTTTTGCATACAGGGGGTACAAAGTTCGCAAGCTGTTTTGTCTGCAAACAGCAGGGACATTTGAGCAAGAATTGTCCTGAAAACAAACACGGCATTTATCCAAAGGTATTATCAGATACTCTGTTGTCCCTTATCACCACAAGATCTTGGACTGAGATAACATTCTGCATTTAGGGGCTCAAAATGTCCACTTTGAAGGATGTTCTGCTTGCATTATCTTTCCTTTATTTAGTTGCATGTCTCCATTACGTGTGGATTCTAACTCTATACATTTGTTAGGGAGGTTGCTGTAAGATATGTGGTGAAGTTACACACCTGGCCAAGCATTGTCCAAACAGAGGGAGGCAAGACTTGATATCTTCTGGGGATGATGGTAAACACAAACCTCAACTGTAACATTTTGTGGGAACTGTCTTAACATTCCTCCACGGTATCATGTGTATTGTACTTTTGCTGATTCATTTTAAAAAATTTGGAACTTTCACTAACTTCTTGTAGCTGATCTTTGTATCCACTTGTTATTAATACTGTTTACATTTAGTAAATAACCATTGAAGTGTTTTCATGGATGTATAGACCATACGCTTGTTTTGACAATACATTGGAGAAAGAAGAACAGATTATGTTTACCTTTTCTATCCATGTGAGAATTAAGGATTAATACTTAGATGTAAGCATTTGGCTAACCTTATGAGGAGAAAATGACTAGCCTGCCAGGCGTGCCTCTTTTGTTTTGTTAAAGAAACATAACATGATGCTATACTGTAACATAGAATCTGTGCCGATGGGTAATTGGGTGAATACGCCTTTAGTAGTAGCAGTCTGGCTAAGGCGCCAAGCAGATGCCATCATGCTAATGTGTGAGATAAGTTATGATTTCTTATATGTTTGAGATGGTCTATAATTTTGTCCGATGGTGCTATCAAACATCTGGTAACTTTTTTCCGTACAGTTATTAGTAGCCGCTCATTTATTTGGTCTTCTGCTTATTTCTAGCTTTCAATACGGAGGAGCATCACCTGGAAGACAATGCTGTTCTCCGGGGTGGAGATGACCTTGATGACGATTTTATTGAAGAAGAAGAAACAAGACACACCAAGGCAAAGAAGGCTAAACAATCTAGTTCAAAATCTACCACAGAGACAGGCGATGGTGACAAGAATACCAACACTAAGGCAAAAGTAAAACAAGCTCCGAAAGTTGTAAAATTCTTTGGTTAAACTATGTAACCTTTGTAGCTTACCAGTAATGATACAGAAGAAGATCCTTCCGAACATTTTGTCTATTGGGGGATCACGGTTTTGTAACGTACAACGGGAATTTAATATGATCTACTGTTCAATGTTTTGAGAAGTGATGTTCTTGGGTGTCAACATTGCGTTTGTGTTGATTCAAGGAGCTCTGCCAGTCTGTTAACGCCTCTTCTCTGCCAGTCTCTAGTTGTTTTGTTACCATCATAGTCATCAATAATTCGTTTAAATACCAGTTGAAGAATCTAGTGCGCTTGACGACTCAAATAAACCGCGTTATAGATTTCTGGAGCAGTATTTGCTGCCCCAAAGATGAACTTCTGAAGCAATTGCGCATTCTCTGAACTTCTGAAGCATTCAGCCGCTGCAGACAAGAAGATGAGTTTGTGACTCGCCGTGCCATGCCTGTCCGTTGTCTCGCAATCACGGCGATGGGTGGATGGGTGGTGGAGCGCATGTTGGTCTGGGTCTCGCGCACGTATAGTAGTGAAGGCCCTGAAGGGGGATCGTTGGTCAAACGCGCGGCCCGGCTCCTCCTCCTAACGTGGCGGCATGGCGCCATGCAAAGCTGCTTATCTATATTTTGCCTGCTTCCCCCCTCTTTCAGGCCTTGGAGATCGATCTCTTTGCCATTCGCCATCGCCATTGCCCACCACCTCCTCCTCCACGCCGATCCGTCTCTCCTCGTCACCGCCGTGCAGAGATCGAAACCTATCAACCATGGTGAGTATACGATCGACCAATTACATATGCCAATACGATCGACGTCTAACTGCTGCTGTTGCTGTTGCTGCTTGATCTGGGCATGCAGGCGAACTCAGCGTCGGGGATGGCCGTGGGCGACGAGTGCAAGCTCAAGTTCCAGGAGCTCAAGTCGAAGAGGAGCTTCCGCTTCATCACGTTCAAGATCGACGAGCGGACGCAGCAGGTGGTCGTGGACAGGCTGGGCCAGCCGGGCGACACCTACGACGACTTCACCGCCTCCATGCCCGCCAGCGAGTGCCGCTACGCCGTCTTCGACTTCGACTTCGTCACCGACGAGAACTGCCAGAAGAGCAAGATCTTCTTCATCTCCTGGTAAAATATATGAATTTAACCAGCGCCTTTTAATTAATTTTTGCCTTCACATTGAATTGCATGCCTCGACTAATCTTGGATCTCTGAATCTGCGGTGTGATCACTTGGTTTCCAGGTCGCCGGACACGTCGAAGGTGAGGAGCAAGATGCTGTACGCGAGCTCCAAGGACCGGTTCAAGAGGGAGCTGGACGGGATCCAGGTGGAGCTGCAGGCGACCGATCCCAGCGAGATGAGCATGGACATCGTCAAAGCGAGAGCCCTCTGAATTAACCAAGATGTTCCCAAGCCTCCCTTAATCAATCGTTCGCGCGTGCTAGCTGATCAAGCGATCAGGCATATATATATGCATGCATGCTCTCATGCTCCAGCAGGAACAGAACAATGCTTGTTTTTGCATCGGGTTCCTGCATATATGCAGGCTTTCAGTGTTTGATCCTACCTGTCGATCAGAGTACTGTCAATTCATTAATTAGTACTCCTGTAAACTAGATGATCTTTTATCTTCTCCGATCTGGCCCATTCTAGACCCGTTATTCCAATATCGATTTTTCCTGTTATTGCTGAGGTACATATATGTATTGATGTGCCATATGAATTCCTGCGTGGCTGTGTATGTGAGCGACTGGAATCCAGAATCAGGCCAACAGGCCGTGCGTGCCGCATGGTATTTGAATCGAAGAGGAAAATACGGCAAGGATGTGATGTTCGCCTCTGCGGCTCTGCCTGAGCGCTTCATTCTGGTTCATTTCGAGCAAACGGGTGGCTGAAACCTGGTGGGTTTCGATCAGTTTCAAGGTTCCTCTGCGGCTCTGCTAGCTTTCAGCCTCATCTTTTCGCTTATGCTTATACTTATCAGCTAAAATTTGAATTTTCAATTTTTAGAGTTGATTTTATGTTTTTTTTCATCTAAGTTTATTTTTGACCTTTGATTTTAAATTGTTAAGAACACGTACATAAAAAAAATTATTTATAAATTACTTTTTATCTGTAAATACTTCATTTCACTTATTTCTCGAATAAGTGAAGCAATAGGATTTACATCGTTTCACTTATTTCTCGAATAAGTGAAGCAATAGGGTTGTTTTTTTTTACTGGAAATGCTACAGGACAATGGGGCCGTTTGTTGTCGGTCGACGCTTGGGATTGGGGCCTTGGCCCTTGGGTTGGGGGAAGCTGAGGTAAACAAATGCTAATGCACAGAGTAATCAATTAAGCGCCGTTACCTATGTCTATTGTCCATCTGTGATTTGAATGATCTTTGGGGTGCTAGCTGCTTCCACTATTCCAGCGAGTGTTGTTTTTTGAAATATCAACAGGGGGAGAGCTAATTAGAGGAAAGAGATACATAGCAAATTGTTCAAATTACAGATTACAAATTAACGGAGAGAAAGGAGGAAAGCAACTCCTTCCAAGCTTAAATAGTCGGTCTATCATCCAAGTGGAGAGGCTCAAATAATCGGTCTATCATCCAAGCGGAGAGGCTCCGCCTGAAGTGAGGCATCTTCAGGGCGTTCACAGTGCATCGCCGATTTTTGCTGTTCCTCGTATGCCACGTAGACGAAGAACCTTATAAGCTTCATACTCCACAGTGCAAGTACTAGTAGGGGGTCCCACCAGTGACAAACTTTTTACTTTTCATCTCTCTCCTTTTTCTTCCCATCCAAATGAGTACTAGTACTCTTAGCTTTTATCCACCCAAACGAGTAGTTTCTCTCCAAGAACCCGGTGGTAAACTTTGGACACAAGAACTTTATTTTGGTGGGTCTGGAAGAAAACGTGGCATGTGACTTTCTCCTTTGCAGACATGGGAGGACGATGCTGAACGCTACACAAGTCCACTGTGAACTCCCTCAGTACATTTTGGTCATAAGTCATGGTAGCGATTTAGGTAGTCTACGGAAATCCGAAAAAGATTTCCCTTGGGGTACTTGTACTTGTACTCGTACTACGCCCTCCGAATCACTTTGCATACGACCCATGTACGACTATGACTAAGCTGTGAAAGACTTGAGCATGAAAAGAATCCGAGCAAACTGATTAGTCTCATAAGGTGAGTCGCACGCTAGTCATATGCATGAGTTGTATGCATAGCAGTGCTCCTACACCCTGCAAAACTAACACACACATCCCGTTTAAGATAATTGAAATTGATTAAATTATGCATAATCTGGTTTTTATGTAGTTGTCTGAGGATATAAATGAATGAGTTAAACTAATATGAAGTTGGAAAGTTTCTTTAAAAATGTTTCAGGAATTTTGTATAATATTTGTTTTCTTTGCACGAAATGCACGGAGAGCTTGGAAAGCATGCAAATGGAAATTCAAAATCCAGAATAAGAAAAGACAATAACCACAGTTCCAGCAAGATTGCAAAAGTCAGCCTGCACAATTCAGGCAAGCATTTAGCTGTGTATGGCATTGCCTCAAGCCAGAAGGGATACAAGTTCATCGCGTCCGGCTTCTGCAGCACTGCGTGACTGAAAGTCTAAAACACTAACTAGATGCTTGGCTGTGTAGCGTGTCTTCAAAGTTGCACCGACTCAACGAGTATAATGCTGCACTGCTGCTTTCAACTTTGCACATGACCTCGCGAAGATCTGGACTAATCAATCTTTCTGAGTCGTGTCAGACTGTCAGGCGAGCTCACCTACTAATCACTTTTTGAACGTCACAGTAGTTCGCGGAGAGAATTAACTGAGATTTTTTAATCAGTCCATGTGGTACTCGTCAAAGTTCTTTGTAATTAAATTGTAATCACTTGCACATATAGGTCACTAATCGAGCATTGCGAGATTGGAATAACTAGCAGTAATAGTACATGGACGAGAAAATGCCCCTTTCTGCTATTCAGTTCATGCATGTATACTGTCTTAAACGTGTTTACGTCCATGGGAGTAGGCCGCATCCTACTTCGATCGTAAGTACTCCGTAACATTCAGTTTGCAAATCGCAATCGTGTGAACGACCATCGGTTGTGCCATACCTTTCCTTTGTCTGCAAGCATTGAAGCAATAGGAGTAGTACGTTGCTCCTTTTTATTGTTGGTCCTGCATCGATGCAGCTCAGCAGCTCCTCCATCATGCCTGGCCCTGCATGTGCTGTTGATCTTGAATGAGTTGAACTTCTCTTGAAATGAAATCATGTTGGATTCAACTTCCATCTAGGGGTTGTGCTTAGATCAAAACTCCAAAACTGTATTTGCCAGATTCATAAAAAAATTTCATCACGTACAACAAGTGTATATTCCTGCTCGTTGAATTGGTGTTCGTTGTCTGTCTCTGTCACATGGGCCACCAGGCCCAACTTGTTAGTCAGCTTCCTTAACGGGCGCAATGCGCCGCGAAGGCCCAAACCGCGGCACCAAAGTCCAAACGCCTGCGACTGGGTGCGAGGCTGCGACACTGGAAAGCGGCCGCGACCCGTGACCGTGAACCCGCCGGCCGCGCCACGTCGTCTACTACCTCTCCCCCTTCCTGCTCTTCTTCTCGTCCAGTTCGTCCATCTGATATCCCCACCCATCCTCTCCGCCTCGCGGATCTCGCCATGCACCGCCGCTGATCCCCAACCTCTCCGCCGCTGCGCCGCAAGGCCAATCCCACCCCCGAACGCCACCAGATCTGCGCGCCTCCGCATTGCGCGCTGCTCACCTGCCCCCTTCCACTCCACCCCCGCTCTCTCTCTCGAATCGCTCGCGGTTTTCACTGTCGTTGACCGATTCCGCCCGCATTTTTATTCCCGAGACCTTGTTCGGTGTTTGGTGTTGATGTCGTAAAGCCCTAGCAATGGCGGAGGAACCCCGCGAGTCGTTGGATTCCTCGCCGGAGCCGCCGCCCCCGGGGCAGGACTCCGACGAGCAGTTCTCGGCGGTCCCGCTCGCCGACGAGGTGCGTGCAGAGGGGAGCGAGCTGGATCCGGATACGAGCGCGGGCACGTCGGTGGCGGTCACGCCGGCGCGGTCGGAGCCGTCGCCGCCGCCGCCGAGGAGGAGAAGGCCTCGGCCGCTGGGCGTGCCGCCGGACGCCCCGCAGGAGGTTGTGCGGGCGGTCGACGACGCGATCATGGTCGGAGGCGGGGCCGCGGCGGCGGCCGGGGTGAACCGCCTCCACGAGATGGTCTCCGAGGAACAGGGCGAGTTGCCGCACACCGTCGTGGACGTGCTGCTTGGCACCATGGGCGGCGCCGATGGCCTCGACGAGGTAGAAGACAAGACCGGCACCGGCGCTCCCCCAAGCATCATGTTCAACTCGAGAGCCGCCGTTGTTGCCGCGGAGCTCCTGCCTTACCTCCCCTGCGGCGATGAGCCATCTCCGCGCACTCGTATGGCCGTGGGCATTCACGCCACGCTCCGCGCCTGCACACGCAATCGTGCCATGTGCTCTTCATCGGGCCTTCTACCCGTCCTCCTCGATTCTGCTGAGAAGCTACTCATTGGAATGGGTCGGGCAAGTAGCTGGGACGGAACACCACTGCTCCATTGCATCCAGCTATTGGGTGGGCACTCGCTTAGCGTGAAGGACTTGCATTCGTGGCTTGGTTTGGTTAAGAAGGCGCTTGGTACAAGCTGGGCAACACCACTGATGCTGGCACTTGAGAAAGCCATGGGGAGTGAGGAAGCAAGAGGTCCTGCTGCGACATTTGAGTTTGACGGGGAGAGCTCTGGCTTGCTTGGCCCTGGTGACAGCAGGTGGCCCTTCTCTAATGGCTACGGGTTTGCTACTTGGATTTACATAGAATCATTCTCAGATACACTTAGTACAGCAACAGCTGCAGCTGCCATTGCTGCTGCAGCCGCAGCAACATCTGGAAAATCATCAGCAATGTCAGCAGCTGCTGCAGCCAGCGCTCTTGCAGGAGAAGGAACAACACACATGCCTAGACTTTTTAGCTTTCTCTCTTCAGATAATCAGGGTGTGGAGGCTTACTTCCATGGACAGTTCTTGGTGGTGGAAAGTGGGGGTGGGAGGGGTAAGAAGGCTTCTCTGCACTTCACTTATGCGTTTAAACCTCAGCGATGGTACTTCGTTGGGTTGGAGCACACAAACAAGCATGGTTTGCTTGGAAAGGGCGACAGTGAATTGCGGTTGTACGTTGATGGAAGCTTGCATGAGAGTCGTCCTTTTGAGTTCCCACGCATCTCAAAACCACTAGCATTTTGCTGCATTGGAACGAATCCTCCACCAACTATTGCAGGCCTGCAGAGGCGGAGGCGACAATGTCCATTGTTTGCAGAAATGGGACCTATATACATTTTTAGGGAGCCAATTGGGCCAGAAAGGATGGGTCGTCTGGCATCCCGTGGAGGAGATGTACTCCCTAGTTTTGGAAATGGTGCAGGTTTGCCTTGGAGAGCAACCAATGACCATGTTAAGAACATGGCCGAAGAGAGTTTTACATTGAACCAACAGATAGGAGGATGCTTACATCTTCTTTATCATCCTAGTCTTCTGAATGGACGATTATGTCCAGATGCTTCCCCTTCTGGCTCAGCAGGTTTGTCCCCCCCCCCTTTTGTTGACGGAGTAGTTTACCCCTTTTCCCACATTAACATCAACTTATATGTTTTAGGTCCAATTTACACATCCTTGTTGGTTCCAGTTTTAGTGAAATAGGTATAGATACAGAAATGTTATGTTACTCAAACTCCTGAACACATTATTTAAATTCTTGCTCTGGACAAAACAAATTGTTATGCTCAAAGTCATATAACTAATGTGCCTTTGACCAATAAAAAAAGGGCTCTGATTTCTCTTAGGACCTTTAACTTTTCAATGGCCCGCTTTGGTTCAGAAACTTTCATTTAATGGTCTGTAAATAGTATCTTTAAAAAGTTTTGGTTGTCCAGCAATTTTCTCAATTTGTTTCCATAATAGCATCCTTGAAAAAAAATTCAGTCTGAACACAAACTGTATCCTAAAGTCGAATGACCAAAATAGGGCTTTTCCCATAGCAAAACATAAGAGTTCTCAAAAATGAGGTGGGAGCTCTTGAGAGCAAGCTGCTAACTGTAGTTTCTACCAAGAAATTGTATTTACTCACAGGTGAATCATATCTTCAATGCCAGTAGTTTCTGTCAATTGTTGATAAATCTTTGTGATGACACTCTCTTGAGTCATCTATACCCTTTTCAGTGTGCAAAGTAATTGATATATCATGTTCCTTGTTGCTGAAATGATGTCAGATTATTGATTTTTGATATGTACTGGGCTAACCGAATGTCAAAAAATTCCCAAGCTTCCTCATAGTGGCACTTTGACACGTTCGGTCATGTACATGATTTTATTGATAGTATCTTCTTTTGAACTGTAGGCACTCACCGAAGGCCTGCAGAAGTTCTTGGGTTGGTTCATGTTTCATCTCGTGTGCGGCCTGCGGAGTCTTTATGGGCCTTAGCCTATGGGGGTCCAATGGCTTTACTTCCGTTGACTATAAGCAATGTGCAGATGGATAGTCTTGAACCTATGCTTGGTGAATTGTCGATTGCCACTGCTTCTCTTTCTGCCCCAATTTTCAGGATTATTTCCCTGGCTATTCAGCATCCTGGAAATAATGAAGAATTATGTCGGACATGTTCACCGGAGATTTTGTCACGTGTTTTACATTACCAATTACAAGCATTTCCAAAGATGGAAGGTGGAGAGGGGGAGGCAGTGACTGATGAGGAGCTAGTTGATGCAATTGTATCCTTGTGCCAATCTCAAAGAAACAACCATGAGCTTAAAGTGCAGCTTTTCAGTACTTTGCTGTTGGACCTGAAGATGTGGAGTTCATGTACTTATGGTTTACAGAAGAAGCTTCTGTCCTCGCTTGCAGACATGATATTTACAGAGGCTGCTTGCATGAGGGATGCAAATGCATTGCAAATGCTTCTTGATAGCTGCAGAAGGTGCTACTGGGCAATCCGGGAACCAAATTCGATCGATAACTTTGCCCTTACTGGAACAAAGAGATCCTTGGGTGAAATTAATGCTCTGATTGATGAACTCTTGGTTGTTGTTGAACTTCTGTTAGGATCAGCATCTTCCACAGCAGCTTCTGATGATGTTCGCTGCTTGATTGGATTTGTTGTTGATTGCCCACAGCCTAATCAGGTAATTTGGCCATTGATTGCTAGACAAACTCATGGTGAGATGCCTCTACTGTTTCCTCCTGAGCCATTGTTTGAATGGAAATACCCAACCTTCTACATATTTTATACGCAGATGTTCTTGAACTAAAGATCATAATGGTACTACTACTACCTAATATCTAGTGAGCATATACACTGAAAACTGTAAAGTTACAATTTGATGTATTTATTTCCATACATCATATCATAAGGATAAGTGGGTATTATTTTAACCGTGAGTCACAACAAATTTGATGGTGCATCAGCTCTTTGCTCTTAAAGCTTGTCTGTGGTTACTCCTTCCAGTTCCATAATTCTTGACGTTTTGGATGAGGTTGAGGTCAAACAATTAGAACCTTGACTATCACTAACTTTTAAAATATTTAATTTGAAGACACTAGAACATGATGCATATATTAGTTTAAAAATATTTTTTAAAAGCTAAATATTTACTTATTTTTTGTATATATTATAATAGAAAATCATAGCCAAAGATTTTGGAGATCATGTTGTTGTCCAAAACGACAAGAATTATGGAACTGGAGGGAGTACGTGCTATTTTTCTGTTGGGATATATTTATACTTGCCTTGATCATTTGAAAGACAATACAAATGTGTAGCAGTCTAGGGCCATCTTATCTATATAGCTCATCTGACAATATAGTCTAAGCTGTTTCTTGTGATCTTAACAATGTCCTTGTTAACAGGTTGCAAGGGTGTTGCACCTCATCTATAGGTTGATTGTGCAGCCTAACATTTCTAGAGCCAACATGTTTGCTCAGTCATTCATATCTTGTGGTGGTGTGGATGCACTTCTCGTTCTTTTACAGAGGGAAGCTAAAGCTGGTAACAACAGTATTTTGGACAATTCTGATGCACTTTTAAGTGAAAATGATTTTTTAAGGAATGATGATTCAGACACAAAAGCTGCTAGTGGTGAAGCAAAGAGCCAGGATGATCAAATTCAATCAGTTGAACTTGAACAGCACGAATCCATCCTTCATGAAGAACATACTGAGCTGGGATCTACAAGCACAAATGATGTGCCTTGTGAGATTTTGGGATCAAGTATAGGAAGGAAGTTGTCCAGTTCTGAAAATCAGCTGCTAAAGAATTTGGGTGGCATCAACTTCTCAATTACTGCTGACAATGTCCGGAATAATGTTTACAATGTTGACAAAGGTGATGGCATTGTTGTTGGAATCATTCACATTTTGGGTGCTCTAGTTGCATCAGGTCACCTAAAGTTTGCCTCAAGGGCTGCAAATCCAAATTTACCTGGTGGCCTTCTGACGACAGTTCATGAAGAAGGAAATACCATGTCAGAAGATAGAGTGTCACTGTTACTGTTTGCTCTGCAGAAAGCATTTCAAGCAGCCCCAAGGAGGCTTATGACTGTAAATGTCTATATGGCTTTAATTTCTGCTGCGGTATGTTGTTTATGTGCTGTCTAGATAATTGTATATGTTTTTGACTTCCACGAAATCGATTTCCTATGATTAATTAACTTAAGAGTAAATTACTTAGTTGCCTGTTGGTTACCTTATCACCTGACCTTTTTCTCAACTCAGGCCACATGAAAAACTGATATCTAAGTTTCTATCAACAAAATCTCTTGGATTGTGCTTTATGGTATTTCAAGTAAAAATAAGCATGAACGCTAGATTTTCTCTGCCCAGTCGAGTGTCCGAGTCCATGTCAGTTTTGGCGGACTTTGCAGTTATATCCTTTACTTAGTTTTTTTTTGTCCATTCCATTTGGAATGGCATAAGCACCACAGTGTTTCAAGTTTGATTAGTATTATAGGCTCTAGACTCTAATATTATCTTGAATGCAGATTAGTGTTTCTTCCATTTAATTATTACCCAACTGTTTACAATTCGAAGTTTCTACTTTTGATGTTGTTATGATCTTGAATGCAGATCAATGTTTCTTCAGTTGATGAAAATCTAAACCTATATGATTGTGGCCACCGTTTTGAACATATTCAACTGTTGCTAGTCTTGCTCCGTTCGCTTCCATATGCATCAAGGTCATTCCAATCTCGTGCTATACAGGTTGGTTTTCATCTTCTTGCCATAAACTTTCCAGGATTTGTGCTGTCATGTCGATGGTAGTTTCTTATGGTATATGCTATGCGTGGTTTGGCTTTTTTTACCTTGTGATAATTGTGGAGTAGTATTTGTTACAGAAAAAACACCAATCTTTGCCTTGTTGTTTTGTGGTTTTGTGAAGATTATGAAGAATTGAAGATAAATCCACACAATATTTCTTTTGGTCAATAGGGTATGAATATGGCATGCATTTATTTTCAGTGAAAAATCCTTATAAAGTGATTTGTTATTTGTTAAGTACTAGTACTTCATCCATAAATATTGGGCACATTTTGTTTTGCACATAGACCAATGAGAGATTGACAAATGATCTAGTATTCCATCCATAAATATTGGGCACAATTTGTTTTGCACATAGGCCATGGAGAGATTGACAAGTGATCCAAACATGCTCTTAGGATTTTGAGCTGTTTTGAACTTAGGCTTTATGGTATTAGTCAGTTTCTTTTTGCTTTATTCTAATTATTCTCATTGAAATCACATGCAGCTGTGGTTTAATACATTTACATGGGACAACCAGCTGCCATGTTCTCAGTAGAAGTCAGCCAAGAACTAAGAGAATTAAGGAAATATGTGTCACTTTGCACTGTTCAAGCACATTTCTTTTCTTTTGGAAACTCAAGAAAAGAAAAAGAATGTATGCTTGAACTATGCAACTGACACATATTTAGTGGGAATATTCCATGCCGTGTTTAACTATATTCTTATGCTTTTAACCAAACACCTGCATGGCTGCACAATCATATTCACTTCCATTGCATTATATGCCCACATATAACCTCTATGTTAGTACTGTTTGGTGTTTTTTTTTTATTATTTTTGCTCATCAGTACTGTTTGCTGTTATCTATTCTTTGTTTTTTCCTGAAACCTTGTTTGCGACCTTACCTGTTTAAATTTCTTATGGTGTCAAAATTTCCCTCTATATTATTTCAGGATCTTCTGTTTTTGGCTTGCAGTCATCCAGAGAATAGAACCACGATGACCTCAATTTCAGAATGGCCAGAATGGATTTTGGAGGTTTTGATTTATAATCATGAGGTAAGTATCGTAGGCCTTTTTTTTATGTCAGAATATATTGCAAGAAGAATCATGCTACATTTTGTGCTGTCCACTACCCATTGATCTAATTCACAAATTTCTAATTATAGATGGGTGCTAAGAAATATGCTGATGGCATAAGCATTGGTGATATTGAAGACCTCATACACAATTTCCTGATTATCATGTTGGAGCATTCAATGCGGCAAAAAGATGGGTGGAAGGCAAGCTATTTTTCTTTTGTAGAGCATCCTATGCAGAAAATCTTTTCCGCTGTTGCCATCCCAACCTTCCTCTCTTATTTGTGTTTGTGATGCTTGTATCATTGCTGATTTTGGCCTATTTCCTCATAATTTTGTTGTTGCTGTGACAATTTAGGATGTGGAAGCAACAATTCATTGTGCAGAGTGGCTTTCAATGGTTGGAGGATCTAGCACAGGAGACCAAAGAATCAGGTGCTCTCTCTCTCTCTCTCTCTCTCTCTCTCTCTCTCTCTCTCGTGCTCCCTTCTGTGTGCAGGCTAGCAGAGGGAATGCGTGAGGAGTTTTGACCTGAAATTGGCAATTGGCTTAGATAGAGAAAGAGTCATTTTCTCTACAATTTTTCTGGCCTTTTTACTTGTGGCATTATTATCTTGCTCCTTTTATAACAATATGGCACTTATGTTCTTTTAGACGGGAAGAATCATTGCCAATTTTAAAAAGGAGATTGCTAGGCGGTCTGCTTGATTTTTCTGCCAGAGAACTTCAAGTCCAGGTGGTTGGACTTTCCTCTAAAAGTTACAGTTTACTTTCTGTGCAGAGATGTTTTGTGTATATGTGTGAGCCTTTTTTTTTTTTGTATTTTTTTGCTCTTTCTACTTTCTGCACTAGTTTTTTTTACCTTTGCCTTGTGCTGTATAGTTTGGTCCTGGCCTAGTTTAAATGGTGGTAATAATCCAGAAAAGTTCAGCATGAACTTACAAATTTTGGTACTGTAATGGTCAAAATGGTGGAACACTAAAACTGGTAGCTTTGACTACATCACTGCTTACTCTGCACAAAAGAAAAGGGTTGACACCTAGACAATACCATGTCAGTGGCATTGGTTTCTGTTATCAATGTTACTGGGTGTACTTTACCATTTGCATTGTATTGTTTATGTTAATTTGAAGATAGCTGTCTTTGTTATGTTTTGATACAATTTCGTGAAGTTTGATAATTCTATCATTTTCATGGATACTGTTTCATCTTATGTTAGTCAAATCTATAATGTCTTTGTTTTGCTTGTCATACAACAGACTGAAGTAATTGCTGCAGCTGCAGCTGGTGTTGCAGCTGAGGGTTTATCTCCTGAAGAAGCAAAAACCCAAGCGGAAAATGCTGCTCATCTTTCAGTAGCACTAGCGGAAAATGCAATAGTTATTCTGATGCTTGTAGAAGATCATCTGAGGTCACAAGGTCAACATTTTTGCACATCCAGATCACTTGATAGTGCTGTCCCTTCTGCCTCAATGGTTTCGTCTGCTGCCAGTCGATCAAATTCATTGTGTAGAAGTGGTAATGAGCCTATGGATGCTGGGACCTCAAGACGATCATCTTTGTCCACTGATGCTGGTGGCCTTCCATTAGATGTATGTAACGCATGGCTATATATATTTTATGTTACTTCAGCTATTAGCATCATTTTGATCAAATGATATTTATTTCTAACAGGACTCAAAACTGGAATACTTGTATTTTTAGGTCTATATGCACTAGCATGTTTCGTCAACATGTTTGTTCTGAGATTCCATTTACTATTTTCTTCAAGATGGTGCATAGTTGCAAAAGGTGGCACTATGTGTCACAATTAGTCACCTAAGTTTTTAGAATTTTTTTAATCTATATTCTGGCTTACTACTGCTGGTTTTTCGTCATAGTTACCTATATCTTTGAGGCTCTTTATGCCAGTCACTTAGGCTACCCTGTCCTGCATTGGTTTTTAACCACATGTTACAGGAGAATATTATTGCCATGGTGAATACTGCTCTTCTTTTTTTTAAAAAAAAATCTACATAGACAATAATACTGAATGGACGGAGGTATATGTCTAATGGTTCATACAGAAAGATGCATACCACTTTACTGGATAGGAATTCTGAAAGAAAGTTCTAAATATGTGATACGTAGGAAAATTCATATGCCTTTCAGTCTGTAGAATGCACAATTATGGGAAGTTGACAGCATGATAATGCATGTAAAACAGACAAGTGCTATTGAAAGAAATATCATTAGTTTTAATAGATTTCTGGTCACGTATTGACTATATATAGAGTCCACTGTTCCTTCATATGAATGTAGTTTCATTCTTGTTTACTGTGTGATCAAGCAGGTGCTTACTTCAATGGCTGATTCAAACGGACAAATCTCTGCTGCTGTGATGGAGCGTCTTACATCAGCAGCAGCAGCTGAACCTTATGAATCTGTCAAACATGCATTTGTTTCTTATGGGAGCTGCATTGCAGATCTTGCTGAAAGTTGGAAGTACAGGAGCCGCTTGTGGTATGGCGTTGGAATCCCATCCAAATCTGATACATTTGGTGGCGGTGGAAGTGGTTGGGAATTTTGGAAATCTGTTCTGGAGAAGGACTCAAATGGGACTTGGGTTGACCTTCCACTTGTGAAGAAATCAGTTGCAGTGCTGCAGGCATTGCTGTTAGATGATTCTGGACTTGGTGGTGGTCTAGGTATTGGAGGGGGCTCCGGCCCTGGTATGGGAGTTATGACTGCACTTTATCAGTTGCTGGATAGCGACCAGCCATTCCTTTGCATGCTCAGAATGACTCTTGTTTCAATGAGGGAGGATGACAATGGTGAAGGTGATGCCTTCACAGGCAACATCAGCATAAAAGATGTCATATCGGAAGGGTTGGGCCATCAAGCTGGAAGCATGATGCCACTTGACAGCAACAATCGCTCATCTACAAGGAAACCCCGATCTGCACTTCTGTGGAGGTATGCACTATGCACCATCAAGTATCAACAGTTAAAATCAAAGTTAGTGGTATGTGTTTAACTGCAGGAGAAAAAATGGAAGCTGAAAATTATTTATTCAATGTTGGGTAATGTTGAGAGGGGAAACACTAGCAAAATCCACCAAGCTAAGAAAAGCACTGGTGACTGGTGAAGTGCTAACAATCTCTGGCAGGGTCCTAACATTTCTTGATTTGTATACTATATGCTTTGATATAATATCTGGCATTGGTTATTTCTTGAAAAATATAACTGCTCTAAGGCATGATATGTCACAATCAGTTGGTAGCCGCAACTTTGATGGAAACACAGTTGGCTTCCTATATACATGATAATATATCTAGGTGACTATGGCGTTTACTCTGGTTTTATCAATTCTTATTTTGTTGGTACTCTTGTGATTTTTCAGTGTGCTTGGTCCCATTCTCAATATGCCAATTAATGAATCTAAGAGACAAAGGGTGTTGGTTGCTTCCTCTATTCTCTATTCAGAGGTTAGTTTTAATATTCTTAACCTAAGCATATAGTTTGTCTAAGTGATTGTGGACCCATGCTACGGAGTGGAACATCTAATAAAAAATAGTGCAATATTTTAGTTTTTTTTCTATCGTTTATCTTCAAGAAAGTTCTACAGATTATATCACCTGAAAGTAGATTTCTTTCTCTGCAAATTTTTAAGTGACTAGATGTATGCTCACATCTTAAATCTATTTTCTTTTTCTTTTTCTGTTAATTTTCTCTTTTCTTTTCTAATAATTTACTTTTAAAAAAGAGAAGAAATAGTGATGCCCATCTGCAGTTGTGTACATGTTGAATTGTTGATACTTCCACATTCCTTCGTTTTCTCCTATTTAGCTGTTTGATTTGTTTTACTCTCAGTGTTTGCAATTATGTTTGATACCTGTTAGATAAAGTGTGTTCGGTATTTACTCTTGAGTACCAAATTTTGTAGTTGTTTCGAATTCCATGTTATACCTTTTGCCTGTGATTCTGATTTTTGAACAGTAACCTGCCTTTGCTCATCCAAACACTATAATCAAAGGTAAATTTGTAGATGTACAGATGTTGCATGTTAATCTTTTATGCTTATAATGTTTAGGCACTATATTCCTGCAATGTTTATTTTGTAGGGGATAACAAAGAAGTTATTCCTCGTTTGTCATAAAGCTTATGCGATATTATTCATTCTGTAGGTATGGCATGCTATTGGTAGGGACAGGAGCCCCCTAAGGAAACAGTACATTGAGCTGATTTTACCACCATTTATAGCCATCTTGAGAAGGTGGCGTCCACTATTGGCTGGTATTCATGAGCTAACTTCTTCAGATGGGCAAAATCCACTGATTGCTGATGATCGCGCTTTGGCAGCAGATGCATTACCCATTGAGGTATGGACTGGTTCTTTGTAAAATCCAACTATAGCTTAAGTTATGTGGTATTAATGCTAAATTATACATCAGTGAGACAGTGACATATAGATACCACTATGATATCTATGAAATTTCCAACTAGTGATTTCAGTTGTGTTTGTTTTACATATTTTATCCTTAAGCTGGGAAAAACGCAGTCCACAAAAATTCCTCTCTAGTTTACTAATACTGCGGAAGAAAAGAAGTTGGGGTTGCTTTCAATGATCATGAACTTAACATAAGCTGGCAAGTGGCAACCTTAACCTAATCTGGTACTATTGAGTGCACTTGATATTTGAGAAACCTAGAAGCTGAAACCTGAAAAGTACTACCTCTGTCCCAAAATATAAGAAGTTTTTGGGTTGGACATGGGTATTGAGAAAGTAGGTGAAATTAAATGGGGGAAGGTTGTGATTGTTTGAGAAGAGGAAGTAGGTGTAGAAATTAGAAGGTGGAAGGTTGTGATTGGTTGAGAAGAGAATGTAGGTGAAGAAGTTGTTATATTTTGTGACAATTTTAAATACTAGAAGCTGTTATGTTTTGGGAGGGAGGGGGTAACTAGTATCTCAGCAACCATGGGTTGTTTTTTTTCCCGCTTATGTAACTATATTAGCATATTAATGATAAGGTAAACATTTTGATATCCATCCTGAGATCATATGTCTAGTCTAGTTGTGGTTACATTTAGCATAGATTAGAAAATTGTACTTGTCTAGTTGTCTGTCTTAAAGTTTTATCGCCAGATGTTTTCTCAAAGAAAAAAATATATTCAAGGGGTTTTTCCTACTTTTTTGAACTCAGGCTGCTCTTTCAATGATATCACCTGGTTGGGCTGCTGCTTTTGCCTCACCACCTGTTGCATTGGCATTAGCCATGATGGCTGCTGGTGCCTCTGGAACAGAAGCAATAGCACCTCCAAGGACCTTGAACAGGCGTGACACGTCAGTGCCTGAGCGTAAAGCAGCACCAAAACTACAGTCTTTTACAAGTTTCCAGAAGCCTATTGAAACAGCACCCAACAAGCATGGATCCACACCAAAGGATAAAGCAGCTGTCAAAGCAGCAGCATTAGCTGCTACTCGGGACCTTGAGCGGACTGCTAAGATTGGTTCAGGAAGGGGTCTTAGTGCTGTAGCAATGGCAACATCAGGACAAAGGAGGAGTGCAGGTGATATTGAGCGTGCAAAGAGGTGGAACACATCTGAAGCTATGAGTGCTGCTTGGATGGAGTGCCTGCAATCAGTTGATTCCAAGTCAGTTTCAGGAAGGGATTTTTCAGCCCTTTCATACAAATATGTCGCTATTCTTGTCTCTGGTTTTGCGTTGGCGCGGAACTTACAGCGAGTTGAGGTGAATCCACTTGGAATATGTCCATTTCTGATATATAAATTTACCATAAATCATATGAACTCTGGAACATGCAGATGGAGAGGCAAACACAAGCTGATGTGCTGAATCGACATCGGGTGTCAACTGGAGTTCGAGCATGGCGCCATCTTCTTCATTGCCTAACAGAGATGGACAGACTATATGGACCTTTCGGTGAACCCTTGTGTGCTCCTGATCGTGTATGTACAACTTTTTCTAATCTTTCTTCTTTTTTTTTTGCATATGTGTGTGTGTGTGTGTTTTTCTGCCCTGTTCCCCAGCAAATTTTGTTTCCAGACCAGCGCATTCTGGTATACTAGCACCCTTACAAAAGAAACAAAAATAGAAGGAAAAGACAACCTGCAGGACATCTTTTGATGTTTCTTTTCTTTCCTGTATTTCAGATTTTCTGGAAATTAGATTTTACTGAAAGTTCTTCAAGGATGAGAAGATTTATGAAAAGGAACCACAAGGGGTCTGATCATTTGGGTGCAGCTGCTGATTATGAAGAGCGAAAGCTAAGTAATGTTGCACAATCAAATGAATGCAACCCAGAGGGTACAGAACCTTTAGTAACAGACACACTTCCATCAACTGCACCTATAATAACGGCTGAGGCCATGTCAGTGGATGACAGAAATGAGGACAATGAGCAGTTAGAATCAGACACAACTCAAAGCAGTGTTGACGATCGACTCCAACAAGCAGATCAACAGTCTGTGAAAGGATCAATAGATTCACGAGGTTCTGGCATTTCTGCTGATCGCAATTTGGTTCGGTCGACGGTTATTGCACCTGGATATGTGCCTAGTGATGCTGATGAGAGAATTATTGTTGAGCTTCCATCGTCGATGGTGCGACCATTGAAAGTTGTACGAGGAACATTCCAAGTAAGTAATTGATATTTACTAAATTTTGATGGTGCCATGACCAGTTCTTAAAAAAAAATAATCAGAAAGTGAACTTTAATTTTATTACAACTTGGCTCATCCACGATCTGTCATACTGATGTGTTCTGATAGACTCCAGAATGTCAATTTTAGGTTGTCAATTGTCTTAAGATTACTCATCACATAATTCAGCTACTGTGTATCGAATAACATTGTCTTTGTTACCAGTAAGCGTTGCAATGCTCCAACATAACATTGTAAGGCAACTTGCTACAAATAAATAATGCCAAGAGGCTAAGATGCAATTGTTCAAGCTTATACTTTTCCTTTTACAAACATACATATTTTAGGGATCGTATTAAAGAATGTCAAGGGCAAGTTGCAATTGTGGACCGATGTGTGGTGTATTAGTTATAACACTTCTCAGTTACTATGGTGGAATTGGATTTTAGCCACTACAACTTGCGTTATATTTCAGTGTGCACATGTTAATTATTATTAATGGGGTGCTGCAGTAGATCGAACAGAATGTTCTGATGGTTCCAAATTAACTAAAAACATTTCTTTTAGCTGAAAATGCAAAATAAGTCAAGTACGTACTCGGATATATGCAGTGTTAGTTTTTTTTTTGTCATAATATGCTATCTGTACTGCAGCATTGTATTTTATTTGCTTATATACTGAAAGGTTTGATCTAAACTATTGCAATGAAGTACCTTATGTTCATCAAATTCTAGGGGATGCTAAGATTAGCACTATAATTTGTTTTCTGGCTAAACCCCTAAGTAAAACATAGGGCGTCCAATTTGCTGCAAATACATAGACAGTTATTTTTCCTTGTGGCTAAACCATTGACACCTTGTTTGAGATGGATAATACTAAAAAAACCGTGTTACCTAATTTAGTTAGTAATGACTATGCATCCTATTTCTTTGATCCAATATATTTTCTTTAAAGAATCATCTATCCTTCTATCGTGTTTATATTATGTTATAGTCCTGGATCTGTTCAAAATCTGTATTATTTCAATTCTATATGCACTTTACTATATTTTTCTGCTATATAAAGCTACACAGTTGGAATTACAAAGATTTAGTTGCTACTCATGATCCTATTCTGCTTCTTCAACTCCCACTTTAGCTGTTAATTGATATCATTTCGCCCTGTTTTTTTTTTTTTGTAGGTAACATCTAAGAGGATTAACTTTATAATTGATGAGAGTGCAAGCGAGAGTAACATGGATGATCATGCGTCCACTAGCGGCCAATGTGATCAACAGGATAAAGATAGGAGTTGGTTGATCTCCTCTCTGCATCAGATATATAGCAGACGGTAAAGATTATTTTCTGATCAGATGCCATGTTTAGAATTTGTTTTCTGATGTACTCTTATCAAGTCGCAATGCGGATATTCTTGTCTGCTGAGATTAAAAATAGGCATTCAATACTTGTGAAGCAAATGCATGCAGCATCAATGACATTAACCACATAATTTTTATTTCTATTCACTTACTTGGTTATTTTCAATGACTTCTTGCAGATATTTGTTGCGGCGAAGTGCTTTGGAATTGTTTATGGTAGATAGGTCAAATTTCTTTTTTGATTTTGGGGTACACTCTTTATGAAACTCTACTCTCTGTAGTCTGAGATACAGATGATGCAACCGGATAATTTTATTATACTTGTGTCTTGCACTTGATCTAGGATATGGAAGCACGCAAAAATGCTTATCGGGCAATTGTTCACAGCAAGCCTCCCAATTTGAATGACATTTTTCTAGCTACCCAGGTTCGTGTGAAACCCATTTTTCCTAATCTCTAGTATGATCAATCTGCAATGACGTTTGTCAGTAATATATTATACTTGATTCAGAGAGCTGAGCAAATTCTCAAAAGAACTCAGTTGACGGAGCGCTGGGCTAACTGGGAGGTACATGAACACAACATATAATTTTTCTATGCTGTTGTTGGTAGCTTTGAATCTCAGTATATTCAATTTCTTCAGATTAGCAATTTTGAGTACTTGATGGAACTGAACACACTGGCTGGACGAAGTTACAATGACATAACTCAGGTCAGTTTACTGCACTTGTATTTCTTCTCTAAAACAAGGTAACTTATCATTCTAACAATTTACATGCATGTGCAGTATCCTGTTTTTCCTTGGATAATTGCTGATTACCGATCCGAAATTCTTAATCTGGATGACCCATGTACATATCGGGATCTTTCAAAGGTTGGTCTGACAGTTGTTTCTATATTTTTGCCTATCTAGGATGCTAACCGTTGTGAGTATTATTTGATGCAGCCGATTGGTGCACTAAACCCTGAGCGACTAGAAAAATTCCAAGAGCGCTACTCTACGTTTGAGGATCCAATCATCCCAAAGTTCCATTATGGTTCACATTACTCCAGTGCTGGCACGGTACATCTTAAAGCTGAATCAAATGTTTATTTATTACTCCCTCCATCCTAAAATATAACAACTTCAATATGTTGTTTGATTTTTTTTATTCAATGTATATCTTGGTTGATAACAATACATATCCGTTGCAGGTCTTGTATTACCTTTTCAGGGTGGAACCTTATACTACGCTCTCAATACAGCTGCAAGGCGGCAAATTTGATCATGCTGATCGTATGTTTTCTGATCTATCTGGTACATGGGACAGTGTTCTTGAAGACATGAGTGATGTAAAAGAGCTAGTAAGTCTTACCAGCAATTTGTTTTCCTGAGTAGGCAGCGCCGAAATCCAGTCAAGATCTTTTGCTGCAATATAACTATCTGATGATATTTATCAGGTCCCTGAGATGTTTTACCTCCCTGAAGTATTTACCAATATAAATTCTATCGACTTCGGGACAACTCAGCTTGGAGGAAAGCTAGGTACTTGTATTTCAGCTTGTGTAAAATTTACAGTACAATTCGTAAAAGCAGAGTTATGTAACCCCGAACATAAATGCAGATTCTGTAAATTTGCCTCCTTGGGCTGAGGACCCTGTTGATTTTGTCCATAAACACCGGAAGGCTCTTGAGAGTGAGCATGTTTCTGCTCATTTGCATGAGTGGATTGATTTAATATTTGGGTACCCTCACTTTCCTTTTTTTTTTTTAATTTGAATGCTTATATTATGCAATCACTCTATAATTTGGTGTAGGTATAAATAAGTTTGTAATTCACCTTCCCTTTGCCCTTTCTTATAATCACTTGCTATTCAAGATACTTGTAATAGGTACTTATATTATAAGCCATTACTGCAAGTTATCATTCCGAAAGTGTGCTCCTCTAGGTATAATGGTAGATCCTTCTAAAGAACTGTAGCCATCTGATGGAGCATCCTGTTACAAGTTCTGCATCTGAATAGAAAGATGTGTTTTGTAGGAAGACGAAGCAAGACTTTCAACAATGACAAAGTTCAATAAGTTAGGCCCCACATGAACAGAAAAGATTCTTGAGTTTGTAAATGTTTCTCTGCTTGTATTTTAGGTAGAATGGTCCTGTTGGATCATCATATCAATGAATTATTGAAATTTAGCATTTATGAATGATGTAGGGTGATATAGGACTTCTGTTTAGTATTTTTAAGAAGCCAATTCTATTTTTTTTCTCCTCGCATATCACCATTTACCTAGGAATATTTCTTTTGCAGATTTAAACAGAGGGGTAAAGAAGCAGTAATGGCCAACAATGTGTTCTTCTACATTACATATGAAGGAACTGTGGACATTGACAAAATCACAGATCCAGTAAGTACTAGTATGCGCTCAAGCTAGTGCTTGGTTTCCCGTGTTGTCATCTATCTGCTCATATTTTTTTAAAACTGAAAATGCTGAAGGTGCAACGGCAAGCCATGCAAGATCAAATTGCTTACTTTGGACAAACACCATCTCAATTGCTAACTATTCCCCACATGAGGAGAAAGCCATTGGCAGAAGTTTTACATCTACAGGTAATCTATATTAAACCCTGGCTATTGAGAACAACCCCCAAAGCAAACGATTCAAAGCATTTCTTTGAACAGAACCAAATTATTCCACCTTGGATGAGGAGTATTGTCAAATAGAAGTCAAGTAAACAGATTCAAGTTACCTGGTGTGGAACACTGGAAAGTAGTTCAAATTGAACCCAAAAGCATTAGCTGGCAATTTAATTAAGTTTGGGTTGTGTAGCTAACTAGTTTTCACATGGTGGAGCTGGTATTCCATGTTCAAGAGTAGACATTACTTGCGGCCTGCCTCACTGTTTTTTACATGGACTGACCCTTTTATTTGCTGTGCAGACTATATTCCGGAATCCAAGTGAACTTAAATCATATTTACTTCCAAATCCAGATCGCTGCAATGTTCCGGCCAGTACCATGTTTGTATCCAATGACTCTATTGTAGTTGTAGATGTAAATGTGCCTGCTGCTCATGTGGCACTTCACCATTGGCAACCAAATACTCCAGATGGCCAAGGGACACCCTTTCTATTTCATCATGGTAGAAATGCTGCAAATTCAACCGGTGGTGCACTGATGCGCATTTTTAAAGGATCTGCTAGTTCTGGAGAAGATTATGACTTCCCAAGAGCTATAGCATTTGCTGCTTCTGGCATCCGTAGTTCAGCAGTTGTTGCTGTCACATGTGACAAAGAGATTATCACTGGTAATTGTTTCTTTTGACTGTTTATGCTTTAGCTTCTATATGTATTTTTTTTGTTCATTTAGATGATCTTTCCTCTTCATCCATCATTTTCTTTCCATTTTCTGGGGAATTCTCTGCTTACTAGTGGAGGATGAGACATCCTACCTGCTAGATTTGGGGGGAGTTTATAGATTCATAATCATTTTCTTACCAGACAGATTCGTTATCATGAGCCAATGAAGTTCATATGTGCTAGACATTCACTAACGTACAAGAAAGGCATTAAATGGAACACAGCATGGAGTTGTGGATTCATATTGTAATGTAAAAAGTCACGCGCATGTAAGCAATGTAGTTTAAGATTGCCTTGTGAGTTGTGACAACACTTCGAATCCAAAGATGCAAATTTGCCCTTTATATCTTGCATATATTGGATTTAAATTAAAATACTGAACACCTGTTGCGCTAGATAAAGTCAAGCAAACAGCTTGATCTGAAACTTCTGGATTTTTTTCTCGAATAAAAACTTCTGGATTTTTTTTCTCAAATAGAAACTTCTGGATTTTAATGAAGTGTTATGGTAGGCAGCTTCCATTATTTAATGATTTTTTTTATGAAGTTTCGTCTGCTTTCTAATACCATTTTACTCAATAATAGGTGGGCATGCTGATGGTTCTGTGAAGTTGATCTCCCCAGATGGAGCGAAGACTATTGAAACTGCTACTGGACATCTTGCTCCTGTTACCTGCCTTGCACTTTCTCATGATAGCAACTACCTTGTAACAGGGTCTCGAGATACCACAGTTATACTCTGGAGGATTCATCAGGCAGGCTCCTTACATAAGAAAAATGCCCCTGAGCCTCCACCAACAACTCCGACAACACCACGCAGTCCTAGTGTGAGCAACCTTACAGAAATCAGGAGGCGTCGAATTGAAGGTCCTATGCATGTATTGAGAGGACATCTTGAGGAAGTGACTAGCTGTTCAGTCAGTCCTGACTTGGGACTTGTTGTATCCTCATCAAACATGTCAGGTGTTCTTCTACATTCTTTGAGGACTGGTCGTCTGATAAGGAAGCTTAATGTAGCGGAGGCACATGCTGTATGCTTATCTTCTCAAGGGGTCATTCTGGTTTGGAATGAATCAAAGAAAAGACTATCTACATTCACTGTCAATGGACTCCCTATTGCTACCACAGTTCTATCACCTTTTTGTGGACGGGTTAGTTGCATTGAGATTTCTACTGATGGCCATTTCGCCTTAATGGGAACATGTTCTTCAAGCAATTATAAGTGTGAGGACAGTACTGAGACTGGGGATCATGAACCTAATGAACCAAATGGCAAGGATGGCATATCTAAACAAGCTGAAACTAGGCAATCTGTTCATGTGCCTTCTGTATGCTTTGTTGATCTGCATAAACTTAAGGTTAGTGTCACAAGCAAAAAAAAAAGGGGGGGGCTTATTTTTCATTTGTGGTAACCTTACCAGAAATATTTTACTGGCAGGTATTTCATACAATGGAGCTGGGGAAAGGCCAGGACGTCACAGCAATCGCTCTAAACAAAGAGAACACAAATCTTCTACTGTCTACTGCTGATAAGCAGCTAATAGTGTTCACTGATCCTGCTGTGAGTACCATAAATTCCTGATGTATCAAAATCCATTTAGCACTTGCTTTTCCATAAAGTACTTACGTTGCCACTTAACCTTCGTTCTAATAGAGCTGGTAATGTTGCAGTTGAGCTTGAAGGTAGTGGATCAGATGTTACGTCTTGGTTGGGAAGGTGACGGGCTTCTTCAGTCATGAGCAAAAAGCATTTATTTTGGTAAATCATTACTAGCTTAAAGATCATTTTCTGTTCGTGTTAGCATAATGAATCGATGGCTCGAGATGTACTATCTGTACAAAGTGGATAAGTAATAGGACCTGCGAGTTAGGCTGAGCAAAGGCTAGGTCGTACACCATATCCAGCAGATCATATTATTCAGCGAACTGCTGAGTAAACGAACTTTATCGAGTAGCCCTGTAAAAATCCCGATGGTTTTTCTTTTTGTAGAATGGGTGAATAGTCATTTTACATTGTTTGCAGCGTTGTATCCATTTTTGGTTGCTCGGTTCAGACAGTTTTCTGTCTTACAATTCTCTGTAGGGTGAACCAGTGTGAGCAACCCCATTTTTGTACATGTAAATTTTGGCATTTGGCTATGTTTTGAGTATACGGATGCAACCATCACATAGAGGTTATGCTGAGACTATTCGCCGTTAATTGGTCAAAGATTTTATGTAAAATCCACTTGCGTGTACGCTGCCTTGATAGCGGACTGATGGGAACATTGGGAAGTTGGGAACACCAACTGATGCTTATCTTTGTTTCAGAAATTCTAGACGCAAAACTAGCACCTTGTAAGAAACAAGAGGGATTACACTTTAAAGATGAGATGACAGATAAGATAATCACCTACCAAAAACAGTAAATTGTGTTGAACGCAAAGACGGCATCAGATCAAACGCAGCATGTCGAATTAACTTGAACCGTATGGAAGTTAGCGAACTTCTAGAGATTGCAAACAGCACCACGAAAGTCTGCTGAATTCGGGTATAAGGTGGAGTACATTACAAAATGGATTCATCGGTGCATCCTGAGGATTATGACGGGTCTGTGGGCTGATGGGAAGAAGAAACTTTTGCTTATCAGCTCAGGTCCTTTTGATCTTCGAGAACGTCCCGGTCTCTGAAAAATAGGTGCTCTGAGTTCCACTTCCAAGCAGGTTGCCGTGGGCCTGTGGATTTGACAACTCTATCCCCTGGACGATAAAACAAATAATAGAGCATTAGAAAAACAAAATGACGAGAGGACTCCTACGCAGTTAACTATGAAAAGAAAAGTTACATTAAAAATACTAATCGATGTAATTGCAAATATGTTACAATGCAGGCGCATATCAACTCTGATATTAGCCTACAAAACATACAGCGTCAGATTTCAAGACAAAACCAACCATGCAATGGTGTGCAGTACCCAACTTACCGTACAAGAATAGCAACATAAAATCCACGAAGCTGTGCAATAACCAGCAGCATAGCAGAATACACCTAATTTAGAAGAGTTCTACTGGTGAAGCTATTGATAAACAAAAATTACATGTACTACCTTTTCCATGACCCAAGTCAAAACAACTAAAGATTAAGCATACCGTTTATTTATCTTTGAAGCAAACGAGACAGCTAAAAAATCTTTAATTTACCTGAACTGGTGTAAACGCCAAACTAGAAGTCAGCCCCGATGTTGCACCACTGCTACCATAGCTCTTCTCCTTGAATCTGATATCAGACAGCAATACAGAATCAAGGGGATAATATTCAAAATATTGGTATTTTGGCAGATTACGTAAAGAGAATTAGAGGCATTATGGTAGCAGGCGTAACACTAACAGTGCCTATGGGTTACTGCAACTTCTATCATGCAATCACACTGAATGTATTTCATGTTCTTGAAGTGTTTGTTTTATATTCTAAAACAAGATGACAGGTAACAAAGAGAAGCAAAATTGCGTACTTCTTGGTAATTTTTGCAGAAAGTTTGCTTGGTGCAGTTGACACGCGTAGCTTTCCACTTCCTGCCTGTCCAAGCATGCCATAACCTTCCCCTAAACCATCACCTGATGACACCAATATTTGATTATGTTAAGAAAATAAATCTAAGTCTCCATGATAATTTATTGTGAAACAAAACAATAAAACATCATTCAAATGGGGATGCCAATACTGACCCAATGAGCTCTCTTCTGGTACACCAAACTGCATTCGGTTAGCAAGCTTCATCATATCAGTTTGTGCATATCTGCAGAATCAAGTTCCAACTTTACGACAAGATACAAAACTGTGCATTTGATGAACCAAGTTTGCACCAATAGGCCAATAGAAATATGAATGATTAGTAGAACACACAATTAAATAAGAGAATGTTTATTGTTTGTTTTTCGCTTGAGAAAAAAAAAGAGGAGGTTAAAGATGGCCTGCCTTTCTTTCATTTTTCGAAGCCGCCGACCCCCTCTCTTCTTTTTAGGCTCAAAGTCTGGAACAGGAAGTGGTTTTGGAAGCTTTGCAGGAGGCGGTTCTTGCCACTTCTCAATCTTCTTACGGATTTCTTCTAACAAGTTACGCCCAGCTTTTCCTGTTGGATCACCTCTGATCGAATCAATCCTTGCTGCTAGAGTTGACTTTGCAGCTATAAGTCTGCAAGCACGAGTCCTCAGAGCTGGTGGGGTACTCTGGAATACATCGGTTTGTTCAAGATAGCCAACACGAAACTGAGATGTGGCAGTAGAAAACCCAGCAAGATTTTTCCTCTTAGCACCAAGTAACTGAACGTTACAAGCAGGCATTTTTGCAAGTGCTCCCAAACCACCAGCAGTTCCCATCAACTTCGAGGCAACAGCGCTGCCAACAATGGCAGACAGGTTTGGTGCAATGTAACCCATTCTGCTCTCTACAAATTCAAGTACCTTCTTCTTTGCAGCATCAAGAGTAAGGGCTCTCTCACATGCTTCAATAGTTTTTACCAAGTTCTCCTCGGAAAGCGGCTTCCCACTTGTCGTTGATGCTGTCACTGAAATTACCATTATAATTGCAGAAGGTAAAAGCCCTTCCAGATCTACAAGCGTTAAATCCATCTCATTTCCAATCTTCTGGACAACACGAGCATAATCGATCGGATGATGAACAAGGGATTCTAGTTCAGGAAACTTCAGCCTATACTTGTCACGTATGAAATTATGGATTATAATGATCTCATTCTCAATATCTACTGATAGAGCATTGCAATCAACAATCAGCTGGTATTCTGGATCTTCCTCCAGGATCGACCTTTGATTGGAAAAATCTGTACCTTTCTGAAGTGCATTTTCAACTTTCTGCAAACAAAGAGTGATTCTGTAAGTTGCCATGTATGGAAACAAAAGGCTTTGTTACCTAAAAATACAAATGACAGTCCCCTTTAGAATCAAATTTAGAAGGATTGTACTTTTTGCGCAAAGCATTTGTAACATTGAGTATATAGTTAAACATGTCTTGGACTCTAAAACACACCCATTAATGTTTGACTGCAAATAGCCTTCTTGTGACAATAGGACAGTACAGGGCTTCAAAATCAGAAAACTAGAAGAAAGAAGTCAAACAACAATCCAATTAAAACAAGAGGACAAAACCATCTTCAAGAAAAAGGAGATTTTGAGCTTGATCACATACTTGCATAATGTCATTGTAACGTTGTGTTTTCTGAAGCTTTGAAACACTATCAAGGTCATCATAATTAAGAGACTCGAGGTCAGGCATATCATCATCACCAATCTCTTCCGTGCCCACTGCCTCAGCATTTTCTTCCTCCTGAAATTTGATGATTAGTTAACAAATTCTCAATAAATAAATCATTGTAAAATCTGTATTATCATAGTAACTGAAACCAACTCACAGGATAGGCTTCATTGTCTGAAAGTTCATCAAGATCCGCTAAGAAAGAATCAGCAAGGCTTGCCTGTAAAATGGCACTGTTTATAAAAATGGAACACATCACACATGACCACAGAACAGAAGAAACATACCTGAACAGAACCGAATGTCAAAGTAAACAAACTTGCACATGGTTACTTAACAGGACCTGAAGTGAATTTATGAACTCACCATGATCTTAGGTTCTTGTCCGAAGTCTTCCAAGCAGCAGCAAGAGCTCCAACTGTAGACCTAGCAAGAGAAGTTACAAAATTACTTCTGATTTTCTACGCTTCACATGCCATGTTTGGCTTTTCTGCACTAAGCAGGATATCAGATTGCAACTGAAGTGCCGTCCTATCAGGCTAGCGCAAATAGGGAGCATCCCTATTCCCCAAGCAGACGCTGCATCTACACATTCTGAGACTACCAATTGGCAGCGGAGCGCAAGGGGACGGCTAACGCTTCCACTGTCGGAATCTACCTACAGCCTACAGGATACAGTATCCGGGATGCTTTAGAAGCTTCGAATCGCCGGAAATTTAGAGACCCCTCGGAAGAACAGTAACAGCCATACCTTTGCAGCGCAGGCGCAGCAGCTTCTCTCTCGCGCTGCCCTAGTACGGGTCGCGGTTCCGCACGCTCTCCGCGAGGCTGGATACGCGCCCGTGAGGCCGCGGCGGCGAGGCGGACTCTCCGGCGAGCCGGTGGGATACAGGGGGCGGCGGCGGAGGAGGCGGAGGAGGGAGGACCCAAATCTGCTCGAGTTTGGGCCGGAACCTTTTTGAGAGGGGGACGCACCGGCATTGGCAGGGAAGGTCGGTGGAGTCAGCTTCTGAGTTCTGATCCTGTCCTTTCGTTTCGCATCTGACGTCCCGGAAAATTTCGGCCAGTTCAGCCTGGAGCTGTATCAGGCTCGGCCCAACTGAAAGGTACCTGTAAAAAAGGCCCAGCTGAGAAGTGAACGGGGCTATATAGGAAGGGTTATATATAATTGGAATTGGATTTTTCATACAACTTTTGACTTCTATAATTATGCAAATATATTTGTAATTTATATACAACAGATTTTTAAAAGGTTCCTCGTCGTGGACCAAAGTAACACTGGACTACGACTAAGGTTCCCCTAAAATAGCACCTAAGATAAGAACACAGGTATGTTCATATGTTGTCATGATCCGATCAACAAAGACTAAACCATAGGTTTTCACTGTAGAGAGCAATTCTTAAAAGTCTAGACAACACCCCCAACAAGGAAGAGGAAACTGCTATTTGCCCGGTATAACTAGCTAAGGCTAAATCCAGATATTCATTTTTTTGAAAGGAGGGTAAAAGCTTTGCCTCGTATATTAATAGAGGAGCAGAAATACAAGAGAAATATGTACAGGGTCAGCCAAAAAGCCAACCTGCAAAGGGAAAAACACTAGGTGATATCTGGATATTCATAACCTAGGAGTTGAGGAAACGGTACTCGACGAGCACCACCTAAGCGAAGTCTCATAGTATTGTTATTCTCTTGTTCCGAGCTAGTGCCATAATGCCTCCCAGTATTAGCACAATCCAATCGACCATAAACACCATAACCTATAACCTTGTTTAGACGTGATACCCTACAATAATCGCGCTGCGAGCAAACCAATATATAGGCACACACTCACAAATCCATAGTGTCCATCTAGAGAACGAGTAAGATGTGGACATAAGCGATATTGTCAATCAAAACCAAGATAGCACCAATCTATAGGTTGGTGTGGAAGACCTTGAATATCGATGAAAACATTATTTAGAAGTACACGTTAGGTGGCAGCAGTCAAGGTCGGATGTAGGCGTGATGCCCCAAGCCAGGCCCCGTTGCCGATGTCGTCAACTAGCACGCTGCCAGTGGCACAACAGCGGTTGGTGATGTCATGCTGCTTGTATCTAGCTAGATTTGGACGCTCCTATATCAACTTCTTGGCACACAAGACGCCCGATGATATCTCTGTACCCTATCGCTGTTGCACCTCGGATGACGACACAACATAAGACGGGGAGAAGATCATCTACCATGTGTGTGCCAAAGTGCCAGATCAATGCTGGAGACGTCCGATCCATGGTTGGCTCCCTAGGCAGTCGAGGGGGAGGGGAAGTAGGATGAAACATATAATAGAGTCCTACTGCCATCGGCCATCGCCATTGTGTTTGTCAGAAACCAATGAGGATGAAGAGCATGGTGTAGCGGTTTGGATATCTTTCGTGGGGTGACGGCGCTAGAGTTTCATCCTAGGAGATGAATTAAATGTCGAGCTTGGTGAAAATTTTTAGTCTCCAGAGTGAATATGGTGCCTTATTTTCAAATTATTTTTATAGTATAATAATATAATAGACAATTATTTAACACCTCACTCTTTTTAATAATAGAAATGATTTATATCCATGGCTTCTCCATAAAGCACACAACGGTTGGTTGTTCAACAAATAAAAAATAGATATAGGTGATAGGGTAAACCTCTAATTCTTTTTCATTGTTGACTAACATTAAACCACATAGATTCTAGTTACCTATTTTTATTAATAGAACTGCACTACCCAAGGTGAATTAAGAGCCACCTCATACTGTTTAGTCTTTACTCCACTTGTTCAGAAGATTTCCAATTATAAACTCTATTCTAATTTCTACTACGTGAAGAATACATAGAGAGAAGGCCAATTCTTAAATGTTGGAGTACATGCCCGAACATGGGTGAGGATGATGGTGAGATGCTGATATAAAACAAGTCAAGACACTTATCCGGTTGCTCCTTGTCAAGTGCTGGAGTTTTCTTTTCCGACCTACGGGACGACGGGAAGCATGCTGAGCTGCTGCTGATCAGCGATCAATTCAGCATCGTCACTATGGTCGATCGAATTATTTGTTTCCGCGACTCCGAGGACAGGTCGGAACCGAACCTCCCGATGAGACGAGAAGAAAACGGCTCCACGACTGCACCACACATGCCAGTAGCCACGCGTCCACGCCAGTGCACAGTCCCGGAGTACTTGCCTGCTCCGCTCCGTTTCGTCGGACGAACGTCGGTCTGTCACGCTCGAACCGGCGCGCGAGTGCATCCCCTCGCGGGCGCGGTGAAAACTGAGCGCGACCGGCCCTAGAGATTCGTCACTCCGCCAAGCGATCCAGATACGCGCGCTGCCACGCCGTAAGCGTAACGTCGCTGTACGGCGTTCTCATCCAAGAGTTGCCCGTCCGCGCGCGCGCGTGGTATCTCTATCCCCTCGGAAACTCGTGGCCAGGCGCTGCGCGTACGTGCGAGACTCGCCGTCTCGCCGTGTCGCACTCACACCCGGCCGCCTCCCGCCCCGCGGAGGCAGAGAGGTGTCCTCCTGCTCCAAGGGCACGCGTGCACGCGAGACCCGCCCGGATCAGCGCTGGGTTTCCGCGGGAGCGCGTAGCGCGTCAACGTGCCGGGGCTGCGCGGGTTTGGTGCGTGATTTCCCCTGCTGATCGATCTGCTCGGTTACGTGTGCCTTCCCGTGTCGCGGTGGCCGGAACATCGCGCGAGGTCCGGTCAATGTTCGGTAACAACAGATCGACAAATCGTGGACCGGTCGATCATTGCAGTGCGAAGCTGGCGTATAAGAGCAAGTTTAATAGTGTAGCCAATTACTAACTCCAAGCTATAAGCTAACTATAAACATATTTTAAAAAGATAAATAAAGAAAGAGAAGAGCAGCGGACTACATATCTGTAGCCGGCTGCAGCATGGACTCCAAAACGTAATGTGTTTATGACAGGTGAGACCAGTTATTAATAGTATAGTAAGCAACTATTGTATAAATTGACTATTATATTAGCTATTTAGAGACTATACTATTAAACTTGCTCTAAGGGGCCGGACCGCCGATCGAATGTTCATGAGATATGGGGCCTGTTCACTTTGATGCAAAAAAAACCTTACCAAATTTTGGCATCAAAGTGAACAGGACCCATATCTCATGAACATTCGATCGGCCAAAATTTTGGCATAGTTAACAAAATTTTGGTAATTTATATAGTTACTAAAATTTGACAGCAAACTAAATATAGAAATTTTTGGCAACTTTACTAAAATTTGGTAAGATTGAAAATGACATCAAAGTGAACAAGTCCATAAAATATGAAGCCCTGACGTGGCAGTTCCTCGTATTTCTCGATTTTCGGGGATAGAAATAGAGTTAGTTTTGGATAATAGTAACACACAACGTAAATATTTAGACATCCTAATTCAACTAAGCGGAATTGCTAGGGCTATGGCTATGGCGAACCTGCACGTCCTGGACTCCCTCGACGGATCGAGGTGCATCATATACACCGACACCCTTTTGGAAGCTTGCAATCATAATGCTCTGTGTCTTTCACCAAGATAGATTATGTTCGTCTCATGTGCCGTACGTGCAGCCACGCCTCGCCGGATCACCTGACTTTCACGCATCACTTATTCAACCACCATCGCAGACCGGGGAGAATCGATCGGAGGTTGAAGGTCCGTTCTCTCTCTTCTTTGCTCATTGATCCAGTGATTCCTAGGTGTGTCTGCTTGACTGCTTCTAGGTCCTTGCTTGTTAGTGATCGCCTGACGTTAATTGGCTTACCTACACCATAAAAAACAGTATACAACTTAGGCTAATTGGGTCATATGTTTAGCTTTATCACTTGTCGCACTCAACAGCGAATTTGCATATTAAGAAAATAATGGGCAGAACATGAGCCACAAGATTGTAGTCTTTGCCATGGCCCTACAGTTGTGGGGCTCAAAAGAAGATCCGGTAGAGAGCATAATATTAGAGCACAGGGAATATCCTTGTTCAGAAGAATATCCTATATCTATATCTCCCCATTCTCTGTCCCTGGCATTTGAACTGGCCATTAGCAAAATCCACCTAACCGGCAAAGGTAGGTGTATGCCTTCACCTCCCGGTATGAACAAGCAGCATTCTAATTTGATCATCAACCAGCGAAATTCTTCTGTTACTTTTAACTGAGTACGTTTGAATGAGCATTTATCATACTTATACACTACACGTGTATAGGTTTCCAAACACTTGATAATATTGGAGAAATAAACGGTCTAGAAGTGCAGAAACATGCACATTTACCGTATGTATATGCGTGTGTACTTCTAATTAATAGATCGGTATTACATGATTTGAAGTTTTGAACTCTTTAGTCCAAGTATGCCATCATATCATATAGAAATCTGTTTATAGGCTAACTTGTAAATTTCAGGTTCAAAACGAGAGGAAAGTTCAGAGATGAGAAAAGGAATAGAAGCAGCGAATATCGAAGTTGTTAAACAGCAGCTACTATGACCCTGTAATATTCTGTAAGGCTGTAATCGTTGCGACTTGAACGCCACAGGAAAACCACGGGGTAGTGTAACCTCACCGGAGAAAGACCTGACCCAACAGCGCCCGTGGCCCGTGGAACGGTCACCACGACAAAAGCCAAAAAGACTCGCGTAAACATCTATAAGACCAGTAATTCCTCGGAAGCCACGGTCGAGGCGACTCCAGAAAGCTTCCCCTCCGCGGTCCGCTCGCCTCCTCACGGCGCCAAAGCAGCCAGGAAGAAGAAGAACCACGCTGTTTCTAGGACGATTCCTGGAACAGCCAACTTCTGAACCTCTATCTGCAAGACTGCAGGTAATTTGCATGCTCCATCTGATCAAATCTCTTCGCCTCCTCTCCTGGCTTAAATTTCCCATTTTCTAGGATAAATCTCCTCTCTTTTTATTGATCTTCCATCCGTCTAGAAAAAAACTAGATTCTGGTCGGCCAAACGGGATCGCCTCGTCTGCCTTATTTATTTGCCTTGCAAATTTGAGGGGCCTGATTTAACTCTCTTTCTATGGACCCCTGTTCTTCTGCTTGCTTCCAGAGAGTGCGATCCTCTGGTTGCGTCTGTTTTATTCGCTTGCTTGCAAGAGCAGGACCCGTCTTGCTTTCTCCTTGCATTCTTGCTGTTGAGTTAACAAGGGATCCATAGGGCACAGGTATTAGTGTGGAGTATTTGTTTTCTCTCCAGTTGCCTTCTGTTCTTCCCGTTTCTGAATCGATTCTTCTTTCGGTTTCTGAATCGGAAGTAAGATGATGCTATGGTTGAAGGAGATTTTTGTTTCTTGTCCCTCCAATTGTTGAGTTGATTGAATTATAGTTCTCTTCTTCCGTTTTCCTCTTGGTCCTTGAACTTGATTATTTGTAATTTTAGACAATGGGTAGTAAAAAAGATTTAGACAATGGAATGATGCCTTCAGAACTTCTTGCCAAGATAGGAACCTGACCAAACGGCGGTTCTTGATTTTGTAGCATTAAAACATAGGGCCTTCACAGTTAAACTTCAGGTCGCTGTGTATTGTCAATTCATAGGGCCTTTTGCTCGTTCAACGCATATCAACTAATCGGAACTGGTCGTCAACTCCTGTATTTTCCTTTTGCTCGTGATGAAACGGGAAATCCCACTTGGGCAAGAAAAGAAAGTGTCGGTTCTGAATATCGTAACATCCTACCTAATCGCACGAATAGCGAAGTGCAAGGTAGTTTATGCAATTCGTCTTTATACAATTTTTAAATTATGACCAACTTAACTTATCGTCCACATTAAACTACGTGCAGTCGTCGCCCCAATAATTTGGCAAAATATTGTTCATTTCGTCAGATGCTTGCGTGTTCCTTGCAGAATAAGCTCTATAGCTTTCACCGTGTCCATTTGCTGCCGAACAATTGTGAACCAGAAGTTCCCTATTCCATTTGTGTCAAGCTGTTAAATTTTGTGGTCCTGTGGACAACTCCTGATGATTTCTCTTTTGGCCTTTTGCAGACAGTATAATACTTCTTCCTGGTTGCAGCCGCCTCAGCGGAAAAACCAAATTCAGCTTCATTCATGGGTTCCCCAAGCAAAACACGTCGGATGAAGCCATTGGGGATTCAGCTATATGAGTGTGCCCGGGGGAGTCCTATCTCCTTCAGATCATGCCAGGCTCTTGTATTGATACTGACGTTCTTATCCTATGCTAGCTATCATGCCACTAGGAAGACTACAAGCATTGTCAAGAGTGTTCTTGATCCTAAGACAGAAAACCTAGGTATGTTGCATTGGCCGAGCCATCTGTATCTTCAGGATTTAAGAGATGCACAGGGCAACATGACGGCTCTCTATAGCGGCTGGGCTCCGTTTAATGCCGACGATGGTACTGCATTGCTCGGGGAGATCGACTTGGCATTTCTCGGAGTATATGCAATCGGCATGTTCTTCGCTGGCCATTTGGGTGATCGGGTGGATCTCAGGATACTTCTGACCATCGGAATGATAGGCACTGGATTTTTCACTGCTGCCTTTGGTGCCGGCAACTGGCTCAACATACACAACTTCTACTACTTTCTGGGTGTTCAGATGATGGCTGGCCTGTTTCAGTCATCCGGCTGGCCATCTGTGGTTGCAGTTGTTGGTAATTGGTTTGGAAAGAGCAAAAGAGGGCTGATAATGGGAATCTGGAATGCTCATACATCTGTGGGAAACATATCTGGTTCCTTAATTGCAGCTGCAATGTTGAAGTTTGGATGGTCATGGTCGTTTGCAGTCCCTGGAGTGATGATCGCAGTCGTTGGGCTTGCAGTGTTTCTGTTCTTGCCTGTCGGTCCGGAGATGATTGGAATCGAGGAGGATATCCATGAGAAGGATGCTGAGAAGGATGACATGAGTGCACCTCTGTTGGAAGAACGATCGGCATCAAAAGAAAAGGCAGTCGGGTTCATTCAGGCTTGGAGAATTCCTGGTGTAGCGCCATTTGCTCTCTGCCTTTTCTTCTGCAAGCTTGTGGCTTACACATTCCTGTATTGGCTTCCGTTTTATATCAGCCACACAGGTTCGTCCCTCCTTTTTCCGAGAAAAGGTTCCCCTAGTCTTGTGTGCAATTTCAATATCATACTGATTTTTTTTCCTCATACCAAATTAATCTTTTACCTCATGATTTTGAACCAAACCATTCTGTCATGTACTAGTATGAACTGCACTTTGTTTTTGGTGTAATCTGATGTGTATTAGCACTAAGAATGATAATGTACCTGACAATGCCAATATGTTTCCATTTTTCAGCAATCGGTGGAGTGTACTTGTCAGACACCGCAGCCGGTGTACTGTCAACTCTGTTCGACGTGGGTGGCGTTGTCGGCGGCATCCTTGCCGGCCACATCTCCGACCGCCTCGACGCACGGGCGCTGACGGCGGCGAGCTTCACGTTCTCGGCGATCCCGGCGCTCTTCTTCTACCGCATATACGGCAGCTTCTCGCTGTACTCGAACATCGCCCTCATGTTCGTCACCGGGATGCTCGTCAACGGGCCGTACGCCCTCATCACCACCGCCGTCTCCGCCGACCTCGGCACGCACAGCTCCCTGAACGGCAACTCCAGGGCGCTCGCCACCGTCACGGCGATCATCGACGGGACGGGGTCGATCGGCGCCGCGGTCGGCCCGCTGCTGACGGGGTACATCTCTGCCAAGAGCTGGAGCGGCGTGTTCACGATGCTCATGGCGTCCGCTTTCGTCGCGGGGCTGCTCCTGTCGAGGCTGGTCATGGCGGAGATCTCCGCGAAGATGGAGTCCCGGAGGCCTGACGCTGCTGCTAGTGATCTGCCAGTGTCCTCCATGGAACAATCTTAGGCTCCATTAGACACTTTGGAAATTGTGTCCCTGGTGAAATGCTGAGAAATTTTACAAGCGAAAAAGCCTGAAAATGGAGACTTGAGAGGTGTGGCAGGAAGAGCAAACCCCTCACAAATTCCCTTTTTTTTTTACACCTGAGGAGCAAGGTGCTCTCTCCAGCCCCAGGATTGCATCTTGGCTATGAGCGATTTCTGTTGCTTGTGATGTGTATATGGAACTCCTACCGTATGAAGTGATGATTGTCAACTCTAGCTGTTGACAAAGGCGCGCGTGTGGAATGCGGGAGGTTTTCCGGATTTCTGTATAGCGAGTTATAATCGGGCTCTTAAAGCTTGTGCGAGAATGCAGCAGAAGTGTTGGTTCCTATCAGATGCTAATGTAATCTTGCTGATTCACCGGTGAAACAGCTGGAGAGGAGACTGGAGGTGTAATTCGAAGAGGGGACAATCTCCTTTTGACCTGCAATTTGAAGCACACGTGGTACTAGACGGTCCACTAGAATCAGGTTTCGATGGGAAAACATCAAATTTCCGTAGGATAGATCTAAAATCACCTGATAAACCAACGTGGAAATGGGAACCTTCTGAGAGATGCACCGTGATCACGTCGGCTGAGGCCCATAGGTGCTCTGGGCTTTGGAGTTTTAAGTGGGCCGTTCTGCCGCATTCAAGCATATAGTGGGCCTAATACTTTGGTCACAAGTAAGCCCATATTGTTTATCTAGCCCAAACAAGGAATCGACCTTGGCGTCTTGTTGGACTCGGAGATTTTTTTTTTTTTGGAAGCCAAGACAAACCAGCAGCCTTGTTAATGAAGGATGCAAGAATCCGATCCCTTCCCCTCCTGATTTGCCATCGGCAAAGCACGTTATAATCTAGCTGGATACGCATTAGCGTATCATCTTTTCTGCGTGTTGGCGTGCTATTTGATCTCCTCTTCCCTTGACCACCGGTTGCGGTTCGCGTGAATCTTATCTTAATGCCAGCGAAAGCTACCGATCGAGATTAGCTGTCGCGCGTGTTGGTAATACTACGTTAATTGTTCAGTGTTCAGAAATAGGCTGCGTTTTCCGGTGCCAGTGCTCGAAACGGCCTCCCGTTTTCTGTACATGATGACCAGTGTGTAGTTTCTCTGTCGCCTGTCGGTTTGCCTAATCTCTGACGACGTTTCTGAAGCTACCCTGAAACTATTTTGTCTATGGCTAATCATTCTGAATGCAATTCACTATTGCAATGCACGAGGTCCTGAATTTTGTTTTTCCAAACAAAAACTTCAGTATTTTTCTCCCTTTAAACAGATCAGGGCTCGCCGGCCGGCAGAGGGAAAGACTGAGATGGGCCGAAAACGGTGCCGGCCATGCAGATGCAGGTCGGCCGTCGGCCTCGCCCTGCCATTGCCAGGCTGCCACACAGGGACACACATCAGCTAGTCGTCGCTGCAGGGGCGTGCCTACCGACCTGCCGCTGCTACTTGTCCAAACAACTCGGATTATAGCTTTCGCAGTTGCAGCCTTGCAGAGCAAAAGCATTGGGAGCGCGTGCCCTGCTAGGATTCGGTTCCAGTGCAGTGGCCACTGTGACTGTAAGTTAAGCAGTCACAAGAGCTATCATTGGATTTAAAACGGATGGCCCAGATGCCTCAGTACTGTAGCAAAGTACGGTAGCGTTTTTTACTTGGAAAAAGTACAGCTCTAGTTTTATTGTAGCTCACAATTTGAACCATTGGATCAATAAATAGAGGGCTGAGATTGTTAGAAATTGCACTGGATCTCAATTCGCCCTGCTAGTCCTAGAAATGAATTGGGATCCTATGCAGTTTGAATAGGGACTGCAAATTTAGCAGTCTTATGTCTTCACTGCCACCACGGATGCAAACAAAACTGCCAACATGCATCTGCATTGTTGATAAGAAGCAGGTTCAACTTCTATCCAGCAAACCTTCGTTTTGTTGCCACGCAGATTATTGCTGATTGCTACTCCCGTATAAGAACATGAACGCCCGTACTAAGGTAGTATAGTAGGATTGTAGTAACAGATAACTACCGTCTACAGCCTCAGTGGCCCCTGCATGCACATATGTATATTTGTAACTTAGTACTCTACATCGTCTTCGTTTGCACTGGATGATCGATGAGACGATGACTAAACATGGGAAGAAATCAAGCCACTCTTAAAGATTAATCTAGTACTACATCGTATAGTGCTATACATCCAAATTAATTAAGGGGCCCTGAGCTCCCTGTCTCTCGCCATCACGCTCCTTCATCATCAGCTCCTCGATCCTCATCTCATCTCCAAGTCGTGGCTAACTGAAGACTTACGTGGCTCCACAGATCTCAAGACGCGGCAGGTATAGCTAGCAAGCCGCGCCACTTGCAGACGCCCTTATCCCATACGTAATCCAAACCGCCCATGGCAAAAGCTGAGATCGATCGATCCATCGATGGCGAGAGCAAAATCGATCGATGGATGCAAGGCACCGAAAAGGATGAGCGGCTAAGCACGGATCACAAGGGCAATGAGCCCTAGCAACAGATTATTAACTGAAGACGACGCAGCAAGTCCACGCACGTGGGAGTCGCTGTAGATGTCCATGGTTTCTCGACGATTTATGACTGATTTTGAGCTGGCCGAATTGAGGGCTGAGCGGTGTGCATTGCATGCATTGTTTCATTGTTTTGACCTGAAGAAAGGTAAGACATGTACATGCATGACTCGGACCGGTTGATTGTGGCACAAGCAGAACAACAGTAGTAGCCATCGCAAGCAAAAGCGCCATGCATGAAAGCTGCTTCTGTGAAGTAGAGATAGTGCTTAATTGAATAATTTGCCATTACATTATAAACGTTAGGCCAAGGTTGACTCGTTTATTATTTATGCAGTATATACTAAACGCTTATTTTCAGTACGTTAGTTTCTTGGAGCCTCGCTCTACTATAACAGTATATTTTACTTGTGTCTGTGTGTGTATGTGTGTGTATATATATAGCAGATATCTTCTTTATGCGTGTACGCGGTGAAATCGACACTAAGATGTGTTATCCATTCTTTCTATAAAGTTAAGGCCAAAAGCTCAAACCTCGTGCTTCCACATCATCATCAAATTGTTAACCGTTGGATGAATGCATTAGATCGCTTTTCAGACGTTGGATGGAATACAGCATAGAGCCCAACCCATTAGTCACCGAGTCAGTCTCTTCGCCTTCTCAGTGTCAAATGTAGCCCACATGAATATATTGACCCATCTGCACCATAGTATAAAAACTCGGACCGGACGTCGAATTGGTGAGGCCTCGGTTCACCGGTTCAACCGCGGTGTTAAAATTTATTGTTTATTGCACACCACAATGGTCAGTGTGGTGTAGTGGTGGGGAACTTAACGCTCCATCTAGCAAACCTGGGTTCGATTCCCATGCTTCACCCGATTTTTGAACAATAAAATAAAACTGGGCCTTAGGACTTGGGCTTCCCATTAAGGAAGATGCTGTACGGTGGCCCAGCTCGTATGAGCCGGTCGGTTTTAGGAGTCCCCGCTTTAGTGGTTTTTCCTGAAAACTGGGCCAGCCGGTTTTAGGAGTCCCCGCTTCAGTGGTTTTTCCTGAAAACCGTCCGGTTCAGTCGGTTCACACTGGGTCAACTGCATGAACAGTCCTTGAAACACACCGAACCGGCGAGGTCCCTAGTTTAGGTTTTTTCCGGTTGAACCGCCGGTCCGGTCTGGTTTTTTCTACTGTGATCTCCACACACATCTACATGTATCCAACGCTTTATGGCTGAACGCCCCTTTAGTTGAGTTGAACCGCCGGTCCGGTCCCTGTGATCTCCACACACATCTACATGTATCCAGCGCTTTATGGCTGAACGCCCCTTCAGTTGAGTTGAACCGCCGGTCCGGTCCGATTTTTTCTACTGTGATCTCCACACACATCTACATGTATCCAGTGCTTTATGGCTGAACGCCCCTTCAGTTGATATGTGCTATATAAATTATCTACAAATTTTGGATAGGACCTTCAGTTGATATGTGCTACCTAAATTATCTACAAATTCTGGATAGGGCTGCTAAAAAGAATTTGCTACCTAAATTATCTACAAATTTTGGATAGGGCAGCTAAAAAGAATTTCTCCAAGAAACATATTTGTTTCTTCTTGAGGTTGTAGCTCCTATCTAACAAATTGATGATTGTACCTACTATCTAACAAATTGATGTTAATCAAGTCCCGTCATCATCAAATTGTTAACCATTGGATGAATGCATTAGATCGCTTTTCAGACGTTGGATGGAATACAACATAGAGCCCAACCCATTAGTCACCGAGTGAGTCTCTTCGCCTTCTCAGTGTCAAATGTAGCCCACATGAATATATTGACCCATCTGCACCATAGTATAAAAACTCGGACCGGACGTCGAACTGGTGAGGCCTCGGTTCACCGGTCCAACCGCGGTGTTAAAATTTATTGTTTATTGCACACCACAATGGTCAGTGTGGTGTAGTGGTGGGGAACTTAACGCTCCATCCAACAATCCTGGGTTCGATCCCCATGCTTCACCCGATTTTTGAACAATAAAATAAAACTGGGCCTTAGGACTTGGGCTTCCCATTAGGGAAGATGCTGTCCGGTGGCCCAGCTCGTTTGAGCCGGCCGGTTTTAGGAGTCCCCGCTTCAGAGGTTTTTCCTGAAAACCGTCGGTTCACACCGGGTCAACTGCACGAACAGTCCTTGAAACACACCGAACCGGCGAGGTCCCTAGTTTAGGTTTTTTCCGGTTGAACCGCCGGTCCGGTCCGGTTTTTTCTACTGTAATCTCCACACACATCTACATGTATCCAGCGCTTTATGGATGAACGCCCCTTCGGTTGAGTTGAACCGCCGGTCCGGTCCCTGTGATCTCCACACACATCTACATGTATCCAGCGCTTTATGGCTGAACGCCCCTTCAGTTGAGTTGAACCGCCGGTCCGGTCCGATTTTTTCTACTGTGATCTCCACACACATCTACATGTATCCAGCGCTTTATGGCTGAACGCCCATTCAGTTGATATGTGCTATATAAATTATCTACAAATTTTGGATAGGACCTTCAGTTGATATGTGCTACCTAAATTATCTACAAATTCTGGATAGGGCTGCTAAAAAGAATTTGCTACCTAAATTATCTACAAATTTTAGATAGGGCTGCTAAAAAGAATTTCTCCAAGAAACATATTTGTTTCTTCTTGAGGTTGTACCTCCTATCTAACAAATTAATGATTGTACCTACTATCTAACAAATTAATGTTAATCAAGTCCCGCAGCAACGTACGGGGCATCCTTTAGTTTATACATCTCACTGATACAAAATTCTCCTACTAGCTTTTCTACCTGCGCTAATTTCTAGTCAATACTGCTGCACTTGGCTACA